CATTTTTTATTCTCTTACATTACATATTTATCTAATTGGCATTTATCAGTTTAATGATCAAATAATAATAATCTTGTAAAATCATGGGTAAAGTTTACTCAAGAATGGTTAGAAAGATTTTAACAAATATGCATGAAAAGTTGCAAAAATGCTGAAAATAGATGATGCAAATAAGCCATATCCAAATATAATCAAAAATTGTTGGAAAGAAAGATCAACTACAAAAATACTTCTATTACCAACATTGCAATTATTTATAAAGTCATGCAAATTTAGTATGTAATAACTACATTGATTAATTTTTTCTTATTATTTGTGTATTCATACTAAAAAAAAAAGGAATTGAATATTTTGATTAGTCAAATTCAAACTCATGCAAACACTACATTAAACATCTTAATAATTCATGATTAAGTCCTTTTTCACATAGCTTTACAAAATATTTAAAAAAAAAAAAATGCTTTTTAATTGTATATATTGCATTTTCACAGATTTATAAAATTTGAATTCTTAGAATTTATATGTAATTTTTCATGACTATTCCGAATATTGCTCTTAAAAATTTGGCAATTATTTGAATTATTTGAAAGAAAATTCTTAATTATTTAATTTTTTGTATCCATGACTGCACATACAGTACAATACAGGGACTGTTGTAATATAAGTTCAATTTGAAAATTCATATAAAATAAAATGAATTGATATGATTGAGTTATTTGAAGTAATATCAAAAATGAATCGATACAGTTTTGTAGATGTACTTGCTCTGTTTGAAAAACATTTTATAAATAAAAGAAAGCAATAGAATTGTTATCTGAGACCCATAGAAAAAAAAGACAACTCCTTGCAAATAAAATTGAATTTTTATGTTTATTATGTAGTTATTTGAGTTGTTAAGTACATTTGAATAAATGTGCATATTTTGTAAATCACTTCAAAGAATTTAATAATAATTTTGATTTGATAATTNATTCCTTTAAAATCTATTCCAAAGACTAATTTCGAATTTGGTATAAATTTTCTAAATATGGATTTGTTCGTATTTTAAACCATATTGGCGATGAAATTAAATATCGAAATGGAAAAGGATTGTCATTAATTAATTGCCGAACAATGGTTTTGACAGTCTTAAGATTTTATTTCTGGAAGCTTTCGGAATATAGCTGGCGATCATTTCTGATGTCACAAACAAATAACCCAATTGGCCAAATGACTCCTAAAATGGTAGTAATAGTGAAGTAAGAGCCAATGTTTTGCCAAAGTTTGTTTAGAGAACGGTCAGAAATAGATGATCGTTGTTTTTGCAATGCATTTTAAACCGTGGTTCAGCCAGCCACCGTCTATAGGCCATTCTGTTGATAAACATTGTTTAACGTAAATTCTGTCTCTGCAATCAGCTGTTAGATTTTGGAGGGTGTCCTTTGCAAATCTGATGTGTTTGGAATTTGTCTGTTTTTCTTTTCTTTTGGTCAATGCTTCCAATTATCAGTCTTTAAAAATATTTTGCTTTATACTTTAAACTTTCTGAAATAACTTGACTTTTCTTTTAAAAAATGTAATAGCTTTTTTGACATGCATTGGATTTGCTACTGAAAATGTAAGAGCTTGAAACATGCAAAAGTCTTGCTGTAAATTATACAAATAATGATAGATTTTTGTCATTAACTTTCTTACATGGAAATCCATATTCTAAAAATTCTGCAACAAAAAATTTTTTTAAGATAATTCGTTTTTTCATGTATTGGAGTGTAGTGACATTGTTAATAAATTACATACAAATTCACTAATCCCTTTTTCATTGATTGTCAATCTTTGGTTAAGTGTTGTTTATATTTTTTTAAAGATTTTGTCATGCAAAGGAATAATGTTTTTGAAAAAGAGTGTCTGCAACTATATAAGAATTAGTAATACCTGTCACAACCCTATATTTGGAAATCTTTGTTCTATGCCATAGGCCTAATGTTTTAGCACAATGAGTGCAAAATGATCACAAGTACAAAACGGATACAAGAAAACAAATTGTTAAAATTGTTTTTTTTTTGAAATTACAGGTTGAGATCTCCAACAGACAGTGCAGCTTTTGTTTAAAGGAAACTAGAGTAGTGCTGCTTAAGCTGTGTTCTTTGTATTGGTACTGGTCAAGTATATTTATATTGGGCCCCAACAACGTTGCACTTAAAATTTCATAATTTTATATATTACATTAATAAAAATACAACTACAAATTACATAAAATGTACATTCATACACTTCCCCCTGATTATCACAGCCCATGATGATGAACTCCTTCAGATACGTTACATTCAGTTGTAGAGAATGTTGTGCATAGGATGCAATTTCTGATCTAATGAACAGTGGCCACATTGAAACTAATCCAATCCACTTGGGAAAGTGAATATGCTGAATAAAAGGTGATGTTTCAGTTTACTTTTTATCTTTGTTATTCATTTACCTGTCCATTGTAATGCTGTTTTACATTGCACAACACCATATTTTCCCTATTGGCAACTATTTGAAGTAAAAATTTTTTTCACAGAATCTGTCATCCCAAGTCTTCATTACTTTCTGCACTAAATTTGGTACCCTTTCTGTTGTTATATCAAGTTACATAAGGTTTTAAATAGTTTTAGTTTAATTATGGCTATCTTGCATTTAATAAACCATTTGTTTATCTTTAGTTGAAGCAATAATAAGAAATTTTATGTGGCAAATTACAATCAAAAAATAATTTGTTTTTAATAAATTAGTCTTGTGGTTTTGATGATATTGTAAAATATTTGCTATATGTCTCTTTTAATAATGAAAAACCTACCAAATTTGTGAGGACTAACCTTGTTTTTAATAATAATAATAATAACAATAATTAACATGTTTAACAACACACAACATGGTTACAATATCAAACATGAAAAAACAACATAATTTACATTGTCACATCTCATGTACATAGACAACACAAAATTTTATGCATCCACACAAAAACAACTTCATCAACTCCTACAAATCACACATTCATACATCAAGGACATTAAAAATGGAGTTTGGCCTAGACCAGTGTTTCTCAACGGGGGTGATATCGCCCCATGTGGGAGTTTTTCCATGTTGAGGGGGCAATTAGTAACAATTTATATTTTGAGGTGCAAAAAACAATTTTCTGGGTGATATAGTAAAACATTATGTTAAGAATAATTAGATATTTTATTCGTTATATCGTACAATAATTAAACAAATAACATTACACTAATCACTTGTCTATTTAATGCAGTACGAATTTGGTGTTAGCCTTGGCCCTTGGCATCGAAATTTTGAAGTGAAGGGGGCGATACTATGTTGAAGGGGGCGACGATTTGTTAGAGGTTGAGAAACACTGGCCTAGACAAATGCAAAACACTTCACTTAGAAAAAGGAATCCTGAAGAAAGAAAATTTTGCACTTGGAAATAGAGATGTTATTGAATCCATAGAAGAGGGTGAATTCTACAAGTATTTAGGATTCCAACTGGCCAAACTAACAGAACATACACAAATAAAGCAAAGATTAATTAAAGAATACCAAAGTAGATTAAATGTTAAAACACACAGTTAAAGCAATAAAAACATATGTCATCTTAGTACTCACTTCTTTTGGAGTTATACATTGGACTCACACAGATCTTGAGCAACTCCAAACGAAAACAAGAACAACACTTACTAAGCATAAACATCACCATCCTAAATCTGCCACAGAAGGATTAACCCTTCCACATAAGGATGGCGAACGTGGCCTGATTGACATGGTTAATCTTCACTACAAACAAACAGTCACTGTGAGAGTTTTTCTACAAAAATCAAGAAACGTCACAGTTACATAAAGCAGTAACTCTATATAATAACACATCATTAAACTTACACTCACATCATATGGACGTGACACAACATATAAAAAGCATAGACATCATTAAGCAATCATGGCTCGAAAGGCACTCCATGGCAAGCATCCTTATGACCTGGCCCAGGATTTTGTTGACAAAACTGTGTCAAAAAGCTGGTTAGCTCGGGGGATGCCTTTTTGGGGAGACAGAAGGATTTATGATTGCCATACAGGATCAGGTCTTAAATACTAAAAACTACAGAAAATGCATACTCAAAGATACAACACTCACAAATGACATATGCAGAAAATGTCACATCATGCCAGAAACTATACAACACATCACTTCTAGTTGCAAGTTCTTGGCATAGACAGATTATTTACACAGACATAATCAAGTAGCAAATATAATGCACCAGAGCTTGCAAACAAACACAAATTATTAGACATTCACGAACCATACTACAAATACATTCCACAGACAGTATTGGAAAACAATACACACAAAATGTACTACGACAGAGCCATAATCACAGATAAAACAATTTATCACAAGAGACCAGACATCATACTCATTGACAAACGCAATAAAATCACATAAATTATAGACATATCCATTCCAAACACTCACAATATACAAAACACATGCACTGAAAAAATTAGCAAGTACACAGAACTCGCTCAGGAAATAAGGCATCTGTGGAGGATGGATAGGGTTCTTATTGTATCTGTCGTTCTCTCCTGTACAGGTGTGATACCGCACACACTACACAAAAACCTGGGAACATTACAATTGAGTAGAAATACATATATCACACTACAGAAGGCCACTATATTGAATACATGCCACATTGTTAGGAAATTCCTGAATACAGACACACAAACTGACACACTGATTCAATTTTAGTTTTATTTTGGTTGCTATGCCTTGACTCTGGTCCGGCATAGTACACTGTCACCGGTGTCAACTGAGTATAACCCACTAAACCTAACAATAATAATAATAATACAGAAACTTGTACATTTTTGTACATCATTAGTATAAATATTAATTAATATATTTTTCATACAGACGTATTATTTTTACATTGATTTATTAATGTAATCAATAATAATTTTCAAGTTTATATATATTAATAATTGTTTTTCAGATTTAATTTGGTATATTTCATCATATTGCTTCATGGAGTTGGCACATTGATGCCTTGGAATATGTTTATTACAGCAGAATCAGTAGGTATATTTAAATTATTTTGTAATAAAATATTATAAAGCATAACATTCAGAATATCAATGTGAATATTTATGATTATTAAATTTATAGTTAATTCTATAAAGAAAATTCTATAAAGATTAGATATTTGAGATTATATTAGATATTCTAATATATTTGAGAACTGATTTTCATTGATTATTTNTTATTTTTTTTAAAATACTTTTAATTCAAATTTTATATAATATTTTCAAATGGTGTCTTTTTACAGTATTTGTTCTACAATTTATCTATCGTGGCTCGAATATTTTCCACTTTACATTTGTACGAGATGATCCGATCGAGAATTTGCATTGCATACAGAACATGTGATATCATCTCTCCATTTTATTTGATTTTATTTTCGTTGGTTCTTAACCAACGAAAGACTGTCCACTTTGATTACAAACCCTTAGAGCTTAGACCGTTGTGAGGTCCAGCATCAAGCCGAAAAAGGACGTCTTAGCGCCTATAGAGTGAAAGGAATTAAAAAAAGAAAGAAAAAAAAGAGAGAGAGAAAACAGTAGTCAGTGAAACGTGACTGTTGATTTCTTAAATATGATTCAATTTTGTAAGCATTTCTTTGTAACTTCCATATCTACGTATTTATTTAAGACAGCTTAGAAACTTCATCCGTATACAGGAACTGTTAGAATGACAGCGACCCTTGTTACAGATGGTATTACGTAACTAACTATTGTTGTTCTATCTCTCTTGTAAGGCGTGACTATCCATGTCAACATTTAACAGTCATAAACATTCTAACAGACGGCCGGATGGCCGAGCGGTCAAGATGGCAGCCTACCTCTCAGGGTGATCCGGGATCGAATTCGTACGGGTCGAATAATTCCCGGGAATTTTTCGTGGGTTTCCATCCGGATATGTTGGGCCCATCCCTCACCACCCGGCTTTCCCATTGTTGGCCGAACCCATAATGGGCTTGCTAAAAGAGGACCTCTTAGTGCCCACAGGGCAGAAAAAATTAAAAAAAAAAAAAAAAAAAAAGTGGGTAAATTACAATTCATATATGATTATACAAGTAATCATATATCAGTGACAGAAATTAACATTTCTGTCACTGATATGAACGTAATATATTCAAAATATTTGGTCAATGCTAGTTTTAAATTAGTTGTGATGTGAGTCTGTTAGTTAATATTGTGTTTTACTTTTTTCTAAATTTTTACTAAGTTGTAGTAAATAATGATAGAATTTTTGCTGCATAGTTCCTTATGTTGGGAAATTGATATATTTATTAAAAATTTTATATTAATTATTATTTTGTGTGGCGTGGACTGCACAAAATATTAATGCGGACTGCATTCAGCTTGGGGGCTGTGGGTTGCCCACCCCTGCTATAGACCGTAGACTAAAATGTTTTCTGCAACCTTCTGTACTTGTGGCTAGATTACTAATTACATAGGCTCCTTTGTTCTTATTTGAACATTTTGCATCATTGTCAAATGCTGGAATAATTCATGCAATCTTTGGAATACACTTTCAACATTTCGGTATGGATTTATGATAGTTTTTGTCCTTTCATTCAGAGCAATCACACCAAGCTCTATATTCTTCTATAGTGGATGATGCGATAAGAGATGCCATTTTAAACTGACCTTTATCACTTACTTATGAAATGACAGTACCTGTGAGAGAGAAATAAAGGTGTTTTTTTCGACTCTGAATTAAAATGAATGCAATAGAAAAAAGGCATTACTTTTTGAAACAATCTTGCATAATCTCTAATATGTTTCTTATACTTTTAGGAAGTAAATAACAAATAAAAAATCACTATCAAAAAAATAATGTACATGTAATTTATCAAAAACATTCAGCATCTAAATGATACAGTTTGCATCATTAGCATGTAATGAAGGTCACATGATGCAAAATCGTGGCAATCAGCAGTGAAAATGTTAAAAATGACCTTAATTTACAAACCATGAAAATAACATATGTTTAATCAATGCATACAACATACCAAATAATTCAAAATTATGTCCTTTGTTTTAAATATTGACTTCATGAATTCTGAATTAAAATTTTATGATAATATCATCACTTTGATATTATCATAAAATTTGAGTTCTCTATTGGAATCAACCATTTCATAGGTCTAACTCTACAGAAATATCAATTTCTTTATTAATAAATGCTTTTTAATATACAGTAAATATCTGTTATAAACATCAAATGACGAAAACTGCTAGCTTTTATTGAATAATATTTAAGATGATATGGAAATGAATAATTCTGGAAATTTTCAGAAAGAGGTAGTTCTTCTGTTAATAATTTTAATATTCAAATTATTGAGACTAATTAATGTAATGATTTATAAAAATTAAAAATAGTTAACTTGATACAATGTTTGAACATACCTCTCTGACAAATTAATTCATTGCCACTCATATTATTTCCAAACTTCATTTTAGTATAACTAGAGACCAATTGAAAAAAAGGCAATCGGTTTTTATCATTTAATATTTTATATTAACTAGACTTTAAATATATTTAATAATTTATTATATAAATTTTATTACATGAGTTACTATTTATTTTTTAAAAATTTACATTTTTTTTTTAAAATAGTATTTTACAAAATACAAGCTAAATGTAAACAGTACCAATCCTTCAATAAAAGAATATCAAAATAATTTCCTGTCATATTTGGGACTTGCATCTCAAATACCTAATATTATATGCAATGCTCTAAATCTACTTCTTCAGACTAGGTTAGTATGTTTTAATTATTTTTATGATAAATCTTGGATTGCTCTAGAGTAATTTTAATGCATTCATGGATTTTGCTCATAAGTAGAGTTGTGTTATATGTAGTTTTTTTTTTTATAAGGAAAGTATATTTTATTTCACAAGATATATTCAAATAATTCCAGGAATAGATCAAACAAATCAAAACATGCTAGGATATAAATAAATTTATTTAACATTTTTCGAAACACTCAAACTTGAGCTACAGTATACTTTCTCTAATTCAAGAAACATTGAGAAAAATTGGTTTCTTACAAGGATTACAAAAATTTTCTGTGATTTGTCTTGTATGCATTCTGTAGACTCAAAACATATTCCTGTTAAAGCTTTTTCAACTTTTGGAAAAGAAAACTTCATTAGTGGCTAAGTTGTGGTTATATGATGGCTGAAAAAGAGTAACAACTTTAAAAGAAAAACAGTTTAAGTAAATGGAACTCATGTAAAATGATCAAAGAAAATTTTGTAATTCTTGTAAGAAACTAATTTTTCTAAATGTTTCCGAAATAGCAGAAACCATTGACAAAGAGGTATTGAAGCTCAGGGTAAATGTTTTGAAAAATACTAAATAAATTTATTTATATCCTATCACATTTTGAATTTTTAGTTCATTGCTGAAAATTTTTGAGCATAACTTTAGTAAAACAGTTCAAATTGTTAAAATATAAATAAAGTAGAATAGCAGTAAATCTAAATACAGTAGAGCATTGATTATCCGACTCAATTGGGAACTCAGGTTGGTCGGATAACCGAAAAGAAGGAAAAAATACATTATTAGTATAGTATATTAGGATATTAGTATATCCCATGTAATTAGTTTATTAGTATATATATTATTATTAATCAACTTTGCGTTGAATTTTCATCAATGTTTAGCCTAACAAATTTTTTTAAAATAATAATCGTCACTATTGTATCACTAAAAATTATTTTAAAATTATTTTATTGCTCACGAAACAAACAACCACTCTTAATTAGAAAATTAAGTCTTGTTTAAATATTGGCCTTCCTTCAATGGTTGAACCGTTGATGCCAGTTAAAACACACAAAAATTTAACAAAAATAATGTTAAAGTAGCTAAGACATAGCCAAATATTGTAATGCCACATCACTAGTGGACACTTGAAATTTGCCGACTAGAACGGTCAGTTAACTGATGTGACGGTTAATCGGGGGTCGGATAATCGATGCTCTACTGTAACTTTTTTTTATCTATATTTTTCATAATAATACTTTATACTCTGAATTACATAGAAGAAAGAAAATCTATTAGAAATTTACTATATTATTTTCATTATGTACAACACCAATAATGCTATAAATAATAAAGGAATCAAACTTTAATAACAATATATAGATTAAAACACTTTTCAAGACCATTTACATCACATCATAAGTATCCAAACAACTAAATTGATTGTAATTTTAAATAAAATTTTTATGTAAAAGTATATGTTTTGTAATGTTTTTCTCTGTTATATTGTTATTAAAATTGGACTTTTTTATTATGAATAGCATTATTGTTATTGTATAAATAAAACAGGGTTGATATTGATTAAGAACATTATTCTCATTATTGAGTTAAGTCATTATATCATATTATATATACAGTGAAATGTCAGTGTAACGAATGCTAGTTTAACAAAATTTTTGGTATAATGAATATATCTTGAATCTCCCAACAATTTCCTATTCAGCTCAATGCAAAAATGTTTCAGTTTAATGAATATTATTATAACGAAAATTTCAGTTTAATGTAATAAAAATTCTGTCTATTATGAAAGAATAATTTCATTATAATGAAATCTATAAATGCATAAATCATTCATTATTAGTAAATGATGAATTTTATATCAAACATTAATTTTAATCTTTGGTTATGGTTTTATTATGAAGTTATTACACTACAGTTTATTTCTTTTTAAGTTTATGAAAAAAATGGAGAAAAACAAAAAACAAAAGCAGTTTTCTTTGAAAGAGAATAATAAAATATTAGATAACGTGCAAAAACAAAAAGATTTGCCTGACGGCCTACTGGAATGTTGTGTCACAGTATCGGATTTTATCAAAAAAAATTTTGATTAAATTAAAGAAACAGCGCACACAAAAATTAGACTTCTTTTACCAGAAAATAACAGTTTTGAACCGAAATAACAATTAAAAAGGCAGGATTCCAACTAATCAGTACTACTATATCGTTATTTTAGTTGTTCACTTGTGATATTTTTTGATAACTTTTTATTACAGATTAATTTTTATTATAATTTAACATAACTTACATTCTTAAAACGTGAAATTCTTTTTGAATAGTAGAAATTTTGTCTACATAGTCAAGCCCAGAGTTTTCACATCACTTTGCAATAATCTTTACATTTTTTTNTAGTAAATTGCATTTTTAAAAACTTTATTTCAAAATGTAAGCAAATTTTTTTTTTATCAATAAATTTCTATTATCCTTGAATTTTTGACTGTATTTCAATATAATGAAATTTTAGAATAATGAAAATATTTGGATGGTCCCCTTAATTTTGTTATACTGACATTTCACTGTGCTATGTATAAATGAAGTGTGTTGAATTTTGCAATTTTATATAATTTCAAGTTTTATTATTATGCTATTATGTTACTGTAAATTATGTTTACTTTTTTCGTCACTGAATAATTTACAGTTATTCATATTGCATTGTTGTGGAATTTAATATTTGTCAAATTTTGTTTTCATTTAAATAAAATTCTTTATATTTATTGTTAAAAATAATGATTATTTATTTGTGATTTGATAATTTGGTGAATAAAATAAAATCTTTCTCAATTTATTTTTCTGTAAACCGAAAATTTATTACCTTCTAAATGTATTCAGAATATCACTCTGTATTTTAGAAAAAGTATTCAAAATACAATAATTTTAACTATGAAATATAAAATTCTTTTAGTGAACAACAAGTATTCATAAGTTTTTCTAATTTGATTTTAGTGGAGGTAATCTTACTGTTCGCATTGTATGCAGCTTAATTGTAGAAGTGATCATTTTTATTTTGACTGTAGTACTGGCAATGGTGGATTCAGCATCATGTAAGTTACTACTTTGTTGCACATTTTATGAATAAAAGTAATTTTTAATGTTTTCAATAACTAATCAAAATATATTATTATAAAATAATTTAAATTTATAATTTAATATAAATAGATTAGATTGTAATTTTAGAGTGTAAATAATAATTGAATTAAAAGAACTTGATAGTCTAACTTAAGGGATATGAGGTAATTAGAATTATATATTGTCAGTTCCTGGCTTGCTTATGAACTCCCAAATTATGAACATTTTGCACTTACAATGCCAAAACTAGTATATTAAAAAAATTATTTTTGAGCCCAAATGTCCAAATAATCAGTTTCACTTCACACATGTTGATTTGAAAATGCAGTAAATAGCATAAATGTGTGATCATGCACAAATCATGCATATTGCTTCTGCACCACTTGAACAAAGGATTGACATCACATTGGCCAGGACTGACACCACTGCATCTTTATGGAAGACACAGAGAACTGTTTGGCTATTAGTTTGCTGTTTCATGAGTGTACAAAGTTTTATTGTATTGCAAGCAATTACATTTGTAGTTGGTCTGATTCAGGATGGAGGAGGTCTAAGAGACAGTGCAATGGAAGGAATTGCACTCCACTACAGATTAACCGAAACAAATACTCGTTTATTTACATAGGATTTACTTAAGAATTACAATAAAGATCATAATAACGAGTCATTATAAGCATCTCATGGCGGGTCTCTAATGTGAGAGAGAGAGTTTACACTCGAGCATGAGATGATAAATACCTGTTGTAAGAATGTTGAGGAAGTCAGACACTTGAAGATCAAGAGAAGATAGACTCCAATAAGAGGATGTATTTGACTCCTCACAGGTTAGATCTGAATTCATCTAGGTAGGAAGATGAAACTGGCTCTCTCAGGTAGGATTTGGATCAAGGCAGCAATCCACAGTAGTTGATATTGGAGGGATCTAGTCGGGAAATCTGGCATTAGGATGAACTCTAATAACAGCCAAACTGGATGTAATAGGCAACTGGCAATGACGGATGAACTGCTTGTCATCATCCAATTCTCTCTCTTATTTTTTGGTCCTCCCCTTTTTTTGCATCTTCTTTTTTGGAAGTGTTAGATTATAATCTGATAGATGACTTTTTGACAATTGTTTCTGATATATCATCAGAAGTGACATATTCAGATGTCATATCTGGACAAGGAAGCAAAGTCTGTGGGAAATAGAATCATTTTCTGTGACTACATTTTGTGTTAATAAAAATTTTTCTAACATTTATTTGAGAAATATTTTTGATATACTGTACATATATATATTTTTGATATTTAATTATATATATAATTTGACTTCTTTTAAATAAAATTCTTGATTAAATCTGTGTTCTCACAAATGTATTATACTACAATATTACACATAATAAAATTACAATATTCATGCATATGCAATATTACGTAAACTTTGTATGCAACTTTGAGAACTGTATTCTATTATCACCAATATTTTTAAACATTAAAAATATTGGTGATAATGGCAGAAAAGTTCTTTACACAATTTAGAGAATTTTAAAATGTGTTAGATTGGGCACTCGGTGTGATAAACTCAATTTTGGAATCTTTACATTTTAAAAAAAGTTACAACCTGAGTATAAGTTGACTGCTTACTATTAATTTTATTTGCATGCAAAAAATTAACATTTTGCATAAAAAGATTTGGAAAGTCATTGAAACAATATTTCATCACTTTCATTTTTACTCTTGTTTCTTATTTCATTGTCATCATGTTCTTTAGCTTCCTTGAATGGTATTGTATATCATCATCATCTGTTCCATCCAAGCTGTTGGTAACACATTTCTTACATCCCTTTATAATTATATTAAATAATCAGACCTCCGAGTAGCTCAATTTTCTCACTTGTACTCACTTTTCTCATTTTTCAGGTCATTTTCTCACTTTTCTCACTTTTGCCTAATTAAGATGTGGAACAAATCATAATTTTAAAGCCAAACGATCTGCCGAATTATCGGACTATCGGAATAGAATTTTCTGGAAGAAAATACTCGGCTCTGAGCGGGACTCAAAATCAACTGCCGCTCAGTGTTGTTAGGTTATAGGAAACAAAAATTTATTTCACGTATGTAAAAAAATCCTATATGCACTTAATCCCTCTCATTACAAATGATTTCATAGCATATTGTTAACATTAAATCACATCTATATTTCCCTAAATGTATGTTTAAACTGACTACATGTATAATTATTCCATATAGTAAGTATTATTTTTATAAAATGTGTTTTAAAAAACTTGTGAAATATTCATTTTTTAATCTTTTCTCTTATGCTGATTATAATTGTGCATTAATTGAGAGATTAAAAAAGTAAACGAAAATGTAAATTCATATTTACATATAAAATTTACCAAATAAATTAAAAGATTCGAAGTGTTGTAAAAAGTACAACACGTGATTGCTTGTGAGAAATTTTCACACGCTTCCCAAAAGGTTAACAACATTGCAAGGATGTTGGTTTTTATTCATCTGCAGGAAAAAGTTCCTTGTTATTTATGAAATCATTAATAAAATATTATTTTACTTATTTGAAATATATTTATTTCAGGTTTATTATTTTATTTTGAAATCAATATTTACACATCTCGTAGCATTAAAAAAAATAAACAGTTTCTGATAGTGATAAATATTCTAGTATAGCCAAATTAGTGAAATCAGCATTGAAAATCCCCATTCCCATGAGAGAGAGGGTCAATTTTACACCAGGCACTTTCTCCAGATAGAGCATCAGTGTTGGAAAGAATACTTAATTCACTTTTGATTGTTAAGGAGGGACTAAATATGTATGACCAAAGCCCACACCTTATACCCATTACAAAGGACTACTGAAATTATCCCTCAGCGCATAGAATTTATCAAAAACAATTAAAAAACGAAAAGAAGTTAAAAGAATAAGAGAAACAGAAAAAAGAGCAGAACAGGAAGCACAGAAACATTTTGAAGAACAACAAAAGAAAGCTGTTCGTAACATGAATATTATGGAACTGCAGCTAAGTTTAAACCAGAAAAATGTAGAAGAAAATGAAATACGTGCGACAGGCCAAGTTTTGTTAGAAGCAGGAAAAAAAAAACTGGAGAAGGCTATTAACAGCAAGAACATGAATTAAGTATGAGCAGCATCTGTGATGCTTATTAGTGTTAAGTGTTCAAAAGCAAGAGAAAGCTGAAAAACATCCAGAATAATCTTAATAAAAGAACATTATCTTTCATGACTGATTATTTCAGAAACCAAATACTTTTTTAAGTATTCATGGTTTACTGGAAATACAGTAGCCGTTCGTTATATCGCACTTGTCTGGAGACAGAAAAAACGCGATATAACCAAGTAATAAAAATTCTGGGCTTTTACTAAACAGATTATAAACTCTATGGAATCTATATTCTTTCATCAGCAAGTGTTTCTGATATAAAATAAGCTTAGTTTTTCAATCCTAAATTTTATTTATGGTTATATTGTATTAATTACGTTTATGTAAACATAAACGTAATTAATACAATTTACATACATTTAGCATTATTGTTTCTTTAGAATACATTAGAATACGATACATTTAGCATTATTGTTTCTTTAGAAATGGCATTGAAAGACAAATACTGTCGATATAAAAACATCAATTGTGATTTTATTATACAGTACTATATAAATCGCTATTAGAAATTCGTGTAGTTTATATTTTTCAATAAAAATTATAAATGCTGTAATTGAAAATTTAAAAAAATAAATACTGAATATATAATAGAACATCAAAACTTATAAAATTACAGAGTAAAAATTCTCTAAAAAGCAAAATAAAGTTACTACTGTATAAAAATTTTAGAACTTTCCATTCAAAATTAAAGAAATCTTTTCCTTACACATTATGCCATGAATTTGAAATTTCACACCTTTATGTGAATTGACTCAATACCATTAATTCACATAAAGGTTGAAATTTCGAATTCACAGAAACTTGTAAATGAAAAGACTGTACTTAAAACTAATAAATAAACAACTTTTATATCAAAAGGAAACAGATGATAATCAATCTATCCACCTGTTCTGCATATTTAGATCTTAACAAATTTATTGTTTCACCTTCAGTGGTAGTTTTAAGGACAATAGTAGAAAAATACTGTATTTCGTTGCAAATAGAAATTCAGTGGCAGTCGATAATTTAAAATTTATTGACTCAAATGCTCTTAAAATTTGGGGGACCAAGAAAGCACGATATAAGGACTGACTACTGTATTACAGTATATACAGAAATTTTTAAAATGTGTTTAACCATAACAGAATAAAAAGAAAATAACAACTTTTACTGCTATTTTGCTGAGTTTTTCTTCTGTGTTTTCACTTCATTTTGTCACTATTGCACTCACTTTTTATTCACTTTTTCTTTATTTTAACTCACTTTTCCAGAGGAAAAATGGCACTCCCAGGCCTGAATAATACTTTAAATTCCATAATCTTCTGTTTGTAGGTGTAAAGGAACTCTGGTGATCTAATGATCCAAAGCAACAATCTCTCATAATTCTACTGTTATTTGAAATTTTTCAAGAAAATATATGAAATTTTTATTAGTTTTTATCTATACAATTGATTATGAGAATTAGTTGCATTCAATTACAATTTTCTTGTCAAAATAACTTTAATTAGAAACAAAATTTTTTAAATATGTATTTACAAACATCTGGGAATTAATCAGCATAAATAAATTTTTGATTTCTTTCTTAGTAATTTTTATCAATTGCACTTAAATCATACTAGTCAATTTGAAAATTATACCCGAAAGATTTATCTTTTATAGAAAGAAATATAAACATCAACTTATATTATAAATTGCAAGTTGTAACTTAGTTTCTTTTCTATTGATATCAATAAAATTAATAAAAATTATTGAGCAAAATCAAGATAATATTTTGTATGTCAAGTAGGCTTCCATGTATGTGCATTCTGCCATAGGAAATACTCCCTTACATATTTTATGTTTATTCTGGAAAATGTACTGGCAGTTTTATGACTGTTGAAAATGAAATCAAAACAGAGACTTGATGTCATTAAAAAAAATAATACCAAAACTTGGGACTGCTGAACATTTTAAATTGAAAAAAAAAAAACAAAGACAATAAAATAATATAAATAAATAAATACCATAAATACAGTAAAAACATAAAACAGACATTTTTTTACTGTATTTATGGTATTTATTTATGTTGTTGTATTTTATTTTTTATTTCAATTTAAAATGTTTAGCATTCCTGAAACTTATATTCTATTTTCTTACATTCTAAATTGTTAATTTACAAAATTTTAAATAATCTTTGTAAACCTGAAGATGGTCTTTTCATAAGACCGAAATCATTATTTATTAAAGGTTTTGTTGCTGCTTTAAAAGGTTTTAGTTGCTATCTGGCAGTTATTTTTATATTATAAAAATTTTTTCATATAATGAAGAACAGAATGAAGAAAAATGTTATTTTCAGAAAAACTTTTATAAGTATTTTTATAATTTTTCTTAATAAATGAATAATTTTTCTTTATAGTTGATATTACATAATTTATTAACAGTTTGAGTTATAGAAACAGCTAAGATTAATAGAAGATATGTGTATATATGTAATGCCATCTATAAAAATGATTAGAAATAGATTTAATAACCAATTAAATAACAGCCATGATTATTTCCAGAGATTTATTTCTATTGAATAAGTTTTTGATATACTTCAGATTATTTTTTATTAATAATATATATTTTTAAAGATATGAAATTAATCACTTTGCTTAATTATTTTAATTAGGGCCAGATATTTTTTTCTATGCAACAATGGTTTCAGTAGTAATTTTAAATAGTAAGTATATAGTTTTTGTACTAGAATTACTTTAGTTTTAAGCTTAAATTAGAAGTGTCAATTAAAATTCAAAGCTCAGTGATTACATTTTGATAGAATAAATTGCAGTTCTAATTAATGCTGCTTTTCTCTGATTGGCTAGCATCTTAGCATTTTGCATCTCTTTGAAGAAAATCAGGCATCAAAAACTATTGACAAACTATTCCAATAAAAATTTGCGATTCCACAATAAAATCCATTGAGTCTAGTAATGTATGAATGTAGCCAATGAAGATTTGGGATGTGAGGTGTAATTGTTGAAAGTTGAAATTTGATACTCAGTTAGGGCATGCCATTAGAATGCACACTAAGAAGGATTTTTGGAAATCCCCCATGGAGGAGAGAGAGAGGGTTAAGGATTACCCTGAAAAACTCAGTTTCTACTATACTATTTTAGATGTGGTTTTTTTCATTTTTTGTAGGAAATTGAACATATTTTTAAATCCATCTAAAAATTCTCTAATTAGCTTCAGAAGAGGGGGGGACCTAATTCTTGCACCCAGTGAAAATGGGTAAGATCAGCTATAAAACCATAAAAAATTCTTTATTCCTTTACTGTACTTAATTTAGAGAATTTTTAAAATGTGTTAGATTGTTCATTCAGTGTGATAAACTCTTACTTAAGATAACCTTTGTAAATATAAATCAAATACTATAATATAATATAGTAGAAGGGTTAGAAATACAAAATAATTACAAAATAATTTAATAATCTTAATCTTTGCTGCTGTTATTTTTTGCCCAAGCAACACAGGGCTTATCTGCTAGTTTTACTATAAGTCAGAACTTGTTTAACAGATGGAAGAGGTTTTTTTTTGCATTGAAGAAAGTAACTTAAGCTGAATAAAACCGAAAATTAAGATTCTATTTGTAGACAAATAAGTAAAATTTATCTCTAGATATAATTGTCATTGTAGAACATGACAAACTCTATTCCAAGAATGATTTTGAAATTTTAGAGATATGAAGGTTATGTGATGAGGAGACATACAGACACAAGGTCTTTGTTGGAATTAACCAGAGATATAATCAAATACTTTCAAAAACTGAATGAATTCACCTCAAGAATTGGTATATCTATCTATATATATAAATGGACATGTGTCCCCCTATATTTCACTTTTCAGCCAAAACTACACATCGCACATGAATGGTGTTTGTATGTGGTAGTAGCCCCAAGTCTCCATTCGTGCACTATGGTGGTTGCATCTCGATAGATAAGGGTGTGGGAGATATGGGCTTGAAAGTGGTTGAAAGTGGAAGATTTTCTATTTCGATTTAAAAAATTTTCAAATTTGAATTTAAATTTGAATTGGTTCGATTATAGAACAATTGTAAACAAATTGATTTCAAGTTGATCAAATTGAAAATAGTTCATTTGACTGGACGTAGAAATTCTCTGATTAGTCTGGTAACGGGGGACCTAATTCTTGCATTCTGTGAAAACGGGTAAGATTGGCTATAATGTAATTATCTTAATCTTCACTATCGTTACTTTTTGCCCACAAATAAAAATCCAGCGAAGCGGGTCCTTGCAGCTAGTATTATATAAAAAAACACTAGTATAATAACAAGTTAAACAAACACCAAAAATATTTAATAATATTTAATATAACAAATGTAGGATTGACCAGGAGGTTCTTGATCATGTTCAATTAATATAGATTGAACCCAATAATAAAATTATTTTTGTATATGTAAAAGTAATTTTACTATAAAAATGAATGTAACTAGGTAACACTTATCTAGTATAATATAAAGATTAAAAAAAAAACTAAAACTTGTTCAAAATGGAAACCTGCCAAACTGAAAAAAAATTTGGTATGATGCAATTCCAGTTTACACAGATTTTACTGTACTTAGCTTTCATGCAAAGATGTTATGTAAAGAATTTTAAGAGTAAAAATATATATTCATTTCATTATTATTGCAAAATTATTAGAAATTTTATTACTGATTTGATGATATAACTGAATTTATCTATCAAAATAGCTGGATAATTATTCAGAATCATTGTTTTTTTTAATGAATATACTACAATTAATAACTTCCATATCAATGACACAATTCAATATTTTAATAATTTCTATTCTGGATGTATTAAAATTACTTGTTTTGGACAATCTAATACTTCTCTAACATTACAGTTTTTTTAAAATAAAAGTTTAATGAATCTGGTGTTTTTATGTTATTTTGGATAATGTAATATAACCTGAATTTATATTTTATATTGTTATTCATATTTATAATATAAAACAAATTTAATAAAATATTATAATTATACTTACTAACTAATCTAATCCAAAACAATACAGTTTTATTTGCTATGTTAGTTATATTTAATTTTTATATGTAACATATATGTTTGTTTATACATTATACTTATTTAATTTTAGTGGCTAATGGAGTTTATCAGAATAGTGTGTATGGTGTTGCTGCCAATTTACCAATGCAGTATTCTAATGCTGTTGTTCTTGGAGCGGTAAGATTTATACAACATTAATTAACTCGATTTTATTTATTACATTTTAAACTAATTAAAATTATTTAATTTAATTTACAATGTGTCATTTGCTGTATAAACTGATTTAGTTTTTTTTTAATAAATACAAATCTTTACTAAAAAAACTTGATTATAAAATTATATGAAAACTTAAATATTTTCACTTATAAAACTTCAAAATGTATTTTCAAATGTACATTCCATTTCATTTAAAGATTAAATTAGATTGAATTTGCTCTAAAACAATGATATATAATAGTTTGTTTCATAAAACTATGAAGTTTCAAAGAACATTTCTATGGATTTACCAAACAATTAATTTATGATAAAATTAATTTTTTTCAAGACTATAAAAAACCATTGCAAAATATATAAAGTAAGCAACTTTTTATTTTTTAAACAAATTTATGTCATGATAAAGTAGTAAAGATTTTTGATTTTATAAATTCGTTCATTTTTCATTTTTTAAATATTTAAAATGACATATGTTATCCACATTTAATCAATATTTGTATCCTAAAGTCATATGTAAATTAATTTAAATTACTCTAAATTAATATCTAAGTCTATCTTTAATTTAAAATTTAATTAAATCAACTTAATATACAATTCTTAATTTATTTAAGTTTTACTACAATCTCTGAAATTACTTATTTGTGTTTTTGTAGAATATAAGTGGAACATTGACATCAATAATTAATATTATTTCAATTGCTGGTAAGAAATTTTTCATTTTTTTATTTATACTAAAATATTTATTTTATTAGTTACATACAGGGATGTAAACAGAAATTTATGAGTGTGAATCACCTGTATTGCTGATGGCTTGCATACTTAGCATAAATAAATAGGCTGTTGTAAAAATGCAACAGCCCAAGATTATTAGTAATACATTGTTGAAGGACCTGCCCTATTTGTGTGGCAGCATGTTGCATGTCATATGCAAACAATGTGACACCTGATAATGCTCGATTAAAAAAGACTGAACAAGAACAAGTATTAAAATTCATTCTTCTTTACCTTGTGGCTGTTCATATAGCATAGTATTTGACTCTGATGTGTCTGTTTTCTGTTTTATCCAATAGTCAACTGCTTGTGGCATTTTTACACTATTTACTTTTAAACTTGTGTGGTATAGCAATGGAAGCCAGCAGAGAGTGACAGGCAGAAAGGGATTAATGTGGGAAATGTCACTCCTTGCTGCCCATGTGGTTACATTCCTGTACATAATAAATATATGTATATATAGTATATAAGATGTATTTATTTTTGAATTAATATTTTTTAAAAATAAGTAATTAAAATTGTATCATTAATTAAATATATTATTAAAGGATTCTGTGGTTGTTTTAGATATAATAATAATGTAATGTTAATTATGTACCTCAAAGCCTGTTACCAGTGTGAAATTAACTTCAAAAAACAATAAAGTAAAATTTCACAAACATTTTTGAACCTTCAATGGTTCTTCTTCAGGTGGCGACAAATTTCTGTTAGGGTGCCTGTAAATTGTTACGAAACTGTCTTATAATGGTAGTACATATGTGGTAAATGCCTGTAACAGTTAGACTCCACCAAAAATACATGGAAGAAATTGAAATGGTTTTATATCACCATTATGTCCAGTTACAAGGAACAAACAGTCTTTGTTTACAAAGACTAATAGAAACTATGTATTTAATTATATTTTAATTGAAATTTTAAGTTTTTATTTGCATTTTTAAGTTTGGTCTATTACTAGTGAACATTTTAAAACTGTTTTGCACATTTTTACAGAGACATAGCCTCTAATAGAAAGTCATCTCTGTAAAGGAAGATTGGACATGATAGAATTGGATATGAAGACATTTTAGTTTCTTTCATGTATTTGTAATGTAAAATACTATCAGCAATTTTAATTGAAAGTTAGACCCCACATTATGCTCTTCCCTAAATGTCCTTTCTCACATTCCAAAAAGACTAAGTAGTGTTGGCTCAGCAGGGGTTGACAGTCAAAGTTTAGAATATTAGAATTAAAACTTATACTCAGTTACAAAGGATGTTGATTCTCAATAATTGTTATTATTAATTTTTAGAAAGTTTTTATAAATATAGATTTTTACATTCAAAATTCAAAACTGAATTACTGTTTAAAGTTTTACTCTTTGATATAGATGTTACGTGTAACTAACTATTGTTATCTGAAGAAATGACTTTTGATGTTGGTTTTTGAATACATTCTTAATAAATAGTTCTAACAATAGAAATTAATATTCTATTTCAATATTTTAAGAAAATATAATAATTTTATTTATTATATATAAGCATTGTCAATAAAGTAATTAAAATATATAAAGATGGATCAGAAAATAAGGTTATATGGTCTGTAAACACTACAAATTGTACAAATTGAAACTTCACCAATACTTTATTTCTCAACCTAGTCACCAAAAATACTTGTTAGACACATTGCTTTAAGCTTATTCATTTCATCAGCATAAAATTTCTGTTTTTGGTAATTCATCATGCAGTGTGACTACATATTTCATCACTTCATTCAATGTAATAACATCAATTGAAGTAATCATTGAAAACATAGAAAAACTAAAGAATATGTAATATTTTTAGAATTAGATTTTTCAATAAAGAATATAAATATAATAATACATTTTTAACATAGTCATAATATTTTAATTTGAGGAAAGTAAAAGCAGACATCTGTAATTTTACAAGAAAATTTATTATACTGACTAAATTTAAAGACAAAACTTAAAATTTTAATAGTTTTTATTCAATGTATTTAATATTGAAATAGAACTAATATAGAAGAATCAAAAACTGTTTTAATTATGCAAGTAGTTTCTTTAGTTTTATCTAAAAAAAATCAAATGAAAGTTCTTGATATAATAAATTTATTGTACAGTGGGTGATCGGTTAACGAACAAATTGGATAACAAACACTTTCGCGAAAGATTTTTATGTTCGGACAATGAACACATGATTGGATAACAAACATAGAAGAAACGACATAAAATAATGAATACCAATTGGTCTTCCCTTGTCTTTGTGCAATAATTCGAAACTTTTCAGAGTGTGGGAGGTGTCAACATTGACGCTCAACCTGGTATATACTGATCGGATAGTATTCCTTCGAACTTTGAGACTCTCCCTTGAAGTTCCAGCCTTTTATTTTTCTGACAAAATCAATTCGTTTGTGTATTTGCAAGACTGTCGGGTAGGCACTCGTTAAGTTTTGCGTCTGTTTTTCTTTTCGAAAGGTGAGAGTATAATAGCAAAGGTAGAGAGTGGGCAGAAGATGCCTAATGTTACTGGGCAGTATGGCGTGAACAGGTCTACAGTAGGCCGTAGTTCAATCTTATTTAAGAAAGATACTATATAATCAAGAAGACTCAAGCAGCTAAAGGAGTAACAAAAATCACATCTGAGAAATAAAGAACATTGAAGAGTTCATAATGGAACCTGAAATGGATCTGACAACAGAATAATGCCAAAAACTTAGCGAGATATGTTTTCTTCTGAAAAAGAGGATTAATGCCAATATCTGCTATTAAAGATCTTCTGAAGAAGTGGGAGGATGTAAGAACAACGGTCTTAGAATGGCATCCAAACTAGGTTGAGGCTTGGGGATTTCTACAATTGCAATGCTATTAATTACTTCTGAAAAATCCTGAAGAGAGTAAAGCAATTGACATTAGACAGATTCTTTAACCCTTTCAAATGGAAAAAACATGACTAATAAAAATGCAAGACTGTGTATGTATGTATTTGTATTATTACATATAAATAAACGTAGTAAGAAAGTATATATTTTTTTATTTTTGGGGGTCTCCAAAACGAATTAAATTCCCATTAAAACCTTGGTAAATCGATAATTGGTTAACAAACAATTTGAATAGCGAACAAAGTCTTGGAACGGATTATGTTTGTTAACCGATCACCCACTGTACTTTACATTTTATGAGATATTATAGTAATTCTTTAATATGTATATACTAATATTTTAATAATAATTTACAAACTTTTTGAAATATTACAAATTTTTAAATGAAATGTAAAACTGCATATTTTTAGCTTCTCCGAACTTAAAAACAGCAGCCATTTACTATTTTATAACAGCTATCTTTGTTTTGTTGGCCTGTTTTGATACATATTTTGCTTTACCTTTAATAGTAAGTATTTTTATTTATCAAATAAAAATTTAATTTTATATTAACTTTTATACTTTTGAAAGTTCGGTTAGGAAAAATCTGTAGAGTTCTATACTTGTTGATAAAAAGCTACCCACCAAGATTGAATTATCTTATCATTGCAAAACTTGGTATATAGCTTTTTATTAGACAGATATGTAGATGTAGATTACAGTTGTAGTCAGATTGCTTGCTACCAGAGTACCTTGATCAGCTTTTTATTATCATCAATCCACTTCTTTAGTAATAAGATTTGAGAAAGTTTTTGAAATTTGAACTTTTGTGTGTCAAAAAGTTATAAGTTTTGCTTTAAATCATTGAAATGATTTCAAAAATCAGTATGTTATGGTGTCAATATTCAATTTTTAAAAAAATCTTAAAAAACTTAATCTAAAAATCTTGTATTAAATAATAAGGATTTTATCTGATTTAAGTGAAAACAAATTTTTAGAAAAATAAGAAGTGTTTTTGTTTTCTCTTTAAAACAATTTTCATTATTTAAATAGGCTGTATTCATTTGTTAAAGTATTTTTATATGACTTATTCTATTTGTTTTATTTTTTTTTTACAGCGTTTTTACAGATATCATAGAGAATTAACAAAAGCTGCTAATAAAGAAAGTAAATGTGTTTATAAAAAGCCACCATTCTTTTTAATATTTAAAAAAGTAAGATATTTAATTGTAAGAATTATAATGTAATTTCAAATTAGAATTAAAATTTAAAAATGCAATTTAAATTTAAATATTTTGTTTTAGATTTGGCCTCAATGTTTTAATGTATTCTTTGTATTTTTCGTGACTCTAACAATATTTCCTGCTGTCCATGCAAATATAAAAGCAATTGATCCAAATTTCATAATTCCACGTAAGTTTGACTTTTTTAAAAATTTAAACGTAAATTCCATTACTTATTTTTAATTATTTTAATATCTACACAAAATAATATTTTTAAGTGATTTCAATTTCAAAATCTAAAATAAATTGATAATAAAGGTATGAATAATTTTATTGGTGGTGACTGACTTCACAGAAAAGAATGTATCTATTCCATGTTTTCAGGTCAACTTGTAATGTATTAAAGTTACTGTTAATTTTTATTTTATTAATACATTTATTGCTTAATAAGAAATTAAGTTGTTTTGATAATTAGTTTAGTTAGATATTTTTCTAACTTTTAAAACAGAAGTTAACTCTCTTCTCATACTGTATCTTGTTTTATGTCATCCTTTCTTTTAGCTAATGTTTTAGAATTCATTCAGAACCCTTTTTTTCAGACCTTCCAAACCAAATATAAAAATTTAATGATTCTGTAATACATAATTTCAAGTTGAAGTGAAATTGTAAAACACAACAAATGCATATGCCAGAGCATGGAGCTGGAGGGCACACACTTAATTAACAATACATCAAAGATCTTTCATGTAATTGTCAACTTTAAATTCCACACCTGTCATTGAAATAAAATTATTGCACTTTGTTTCATAACTCCCGAAATTTGTTAGAAAATGTACATAATATATACATTAAGGGTGCAGCATTGCCCTTGTGACTGAATTTTGGAGTGAATTTTTTCCTAAAATTAAAACAGCATACTCAGGACAGTATGTATACTTAATTTGGTTTGAGATTTTCCCAATAGTCATTCTACAGAGAGCTTTGCACATCTACTCTTTAATTATGGTCAATCTGAAATATATATATATATGTTTGTGTTATCGTTAATCCAATAAATTGATTACTATACATAATCACTGATTATTTTACAAAATATTCCATTTTTATGACTAATCTGATAAAATATGTACAATTAATTATTTTTACTGGTTATTCTACATAACAGTCAAACCGTTTTGACTGAAGTGATAAATTATAAAGTATGGAATATTTTTATTATTATTATTTTTTTGGTACAGTTGTGAAGAGAGACAATACCAATGGGAACCTCCTCTTGTAAAATGAAAGTCCCTTGATAAATGACAAACTGATTCCTCGAATACTTTTGAGCTAATTGGGTTTTTTTTTTTTTTGGTGCCAATTCCACACATCTAGCATCAGTATCCATCTGCAGAATGACTACTAGAATGTTCCTGGAGTCACTCTTTCCCCTGGCTACATCAGGAATTCACTTTTATGGTGTCTGCAATCTTGCTTCTTGGAAACTTTAGCTAGGATTGGCTACACTACACTTAGGTAATCAGATGCTGGAGGCAACATGTACAGTACGACTGAGACAGGTTCAAACTTACAGAAATATGAGATTTATCACTTTAAAGGGTGCTGGTTATTGTTCGTAATAGTAGGTTAATGTGACTGACTAATTTTACAAAAACATGAATAATTTATCACATTTACCAAAAGTATTGGTTCTTATGCAGAATACCTGGTGATTACGCACACTTAACAGATTTATTAATTTAACCATAACATGTATTTTTTCTTAGTGTATGAACATTTGAATTTCCAAATTCTTTACATTTTTTTTTTCTAGTTTCATGTTCCTGATGATGTAAATTTGTTAAAAAATGTATTAATTAATACTGATAATTATAAGAATTAAGTTTTTGCAGACTTCAGAAATTTATTAAAGAAGATAACAACTTTGACTCAAGTATTATGTATAATACATTTGTAAATTATGAACTGTATTGATAAAAATAAATTATATATTATATCTTATATATAAAATACATAAAACATTATACAGACATATTCATACAAACACGTATAACTATCTGTGATTACAATTTGACTAGACATTGTTACTTTTGTGATCTGCATCATTAGATAGAAAACAAACTTGTTGATGTGTTTGATTATGATTGCTCATATATTTGTATTTCAAAATAATCGTTTTTTAAAATCTAGAATGTGTTATAAACAAATTAGAAATAAACATAAAGCTGTACTCACTCCTTAGTACCAAGTATTTTTAATTTTGAAAAGGTTTTTTTTTTTATTTATAAGTCGATAAGTAATGNTGAATTATCAAACTTTTTTCTTGTATAGCCAGGGCCTCGTTTCCTTTGGATTCCTGTTGTGCTACGTGTTGTACTGATACCATATTTTATGTTGTGCAATTATAAACCAGAAAAAAGAAAGTTTCCTGTATTTATAAATAATGATTGGGCTTATATGTCTATGGCTGTTGTATTGGGATTATCTAGTGGGTATTTCAGCAGTTTAAGCATGATGTATGCACCAAGGTAAGTAGTAAACTTGGTAATTATCTAAATTAATTATATTTATGTAAACAGTTAAAAAGTTTTTTAAATTTGATGTAAATATTATATAAATGGAATAAATTTATATTTTATTAGAAAAATTTAATTGATAATGAAGAACTGAATCTGAATAAAATAAAAGTTATTATTGTTTTATTAATGGAACTGACTAATGTATAATATAAAATTAATTATTAACAGATTATTTTATTTTTACTGTACTAAGAAATTTTAAAAATAAGATATATCCTTGTTGTTATCTGGTAGAATATCTTTATATTAATTCTTCTTTCTTAAATAAATTAATTGCATTTTTTTAATTCAAACATTTTAACTGCATCACTGTGTGTTTGTATTTGTTTTAAAAGAATGTTTTTCTAATTTTAGATGTGTTGAACCTCAATATGCATCTACTGCTGGAATGATGGCAGCACTTTTCTTAATCTTAGGCATTGTGTCCGGTGTCAACTTCTCATTCTTCATTTCTTGGTTGATTGAAACTCCACTGTTCTAAAGGATCTGAAGAGAAAATTTGTTGCCAAAAAGTTGGTTTAAAAATGATATAATTTATACAGTTATTATATCAAAATCTTTATATATGGAATAGTGTAAGTTTTTAAATTTGTTTATATGAATGCTTGTTAAATCATCAAGAAATACTTATTTATTTGCAAATATAAATTACATAGCATAATTTGTACTAAGTATCATTGTTTAAAAATCATCATTTTTATAAAAATAAATTATATATTATATCTTATATATAAAATACATAAAACATTATACAGACATATTCATACAAACACGTATAACTATCTGTGATTACAATTTGACTAGACATTGTTACTTTTGTGATCTGCATCATTAGATAGAAAACAAACTTGTTGATGTGTTTGATTATGATTGCTCATATATTTGTATTTCAAAATAATCGTTTTTTAAAATCTAGAATGTGTTATAAACAAATTAGAAATAAACATAAAACTGTACTCACTCCTTAGTACCAAGTATTTTTAATTTTGAAAAGGTTTTTTTTTTTATTTATAAGTCGATAAGTAATGAAATGTAGATAAGATATTTTATTCTCATTTTTATAATCAAAATTCATCATCTATTTTTAATTAAAGAGAAATTAAATAAAATAATATTTTTAAGTGATTTCAATTTCAAAATCTAAANACAAATATTTCTATAGTTTTTTTTTTTTTTGTTATTCTTTTAGTGAAAACTGTTAAATCTTCATTAAATGATCATCATTTAATGAAGATGTTGATAGAAAAATCTGTGGTAAAAATAATTATTTAAATTAATAAGAAAAGATTAAAACTTAATTATAAGATTAAAATTAAATATAATATATTTGCATGTTTAGAAAATTATACATTCTTCAAACATATAAACACTTACAAGGCAAAATCAATTAAGGTTTAAAGTTAATATCAAAATATTTTAATCTAAAGAAACATTATTTTAACCATTCTTTAATTATAGCAATATTAATTAAATGATATTAGTGCTTAATTATCTCAAAATATCTTTTGAAATAATATAATGTTTTATTATATAAACCAAAAATTAATTGTGCTCTTTTATATAAAATTTTTAAAATAGTTCAGAAGTATAATTTCATTTAAATATTAAAATTTTAAAAAAATATTAAAGCTTTTTGGTACTAAGGAGGAAACCTTATATTTTCTTTATAAATATTTTTAAAACTGTTTGAAAATAGAAATAATATCAAAATTTTTTATTATAATGTTATTGACAATTGTCTGTCTATTAATTGTCTATTGACAATTATTTGAAAATATTCTGTTTTAATATTTCTGTAATATAAGATTTAAATACATTTTATTTTATATTACAGTTGATAATTATCTACGTAGAATCTGAAATTAAGAAAGAACAGTATTATTTAGAATTTATTTATCTTATATTTTTATTTTTCAATGTATTTTTGTGATGTTTATACATTATAAAATATGCGGCCAAGAAAAAATTTCGTTTTGATTTGTAAAATTATTTGAATTATGTATTTTGTACAAGTATTGTTTCAGAAAGCTATTTATTCATCATACATTAGGATATTTTTGAACATAATGAAAATGATGTGGATCTTAAGATTTGCTATTATTTTATTTACACAGAAAAATAATTTGATTTTCTTTTATGCTAAACTTTCTGCATTTCTTATGAAAATATAATATCCAATCATTAATATTGTTTACATGTATCTTGTGATTTTTTTTTAATTTTCATTTTAATGTGTATAGTATTATTACGAAAATGTGTTACACGGTTAAAATTTAATACAGTGATTGACATTTAAACTGTACTTATTAATTTTCATTATTTAAAGTGTTATGGATAAATTGTTATTTCCATGAAGAAACTAAATAATTAAACTTCTTTTGTATCTAAATTATTATTATTATTATTATATTTTATATAGATTAATTAACAAGAAGGAAAAAGATTTGACAATTATGAAAAATTACATAAATTTATAATAATGATTTTGATAGAACAGTAAAAGTTATCTTTATTTATTTTAAGAAATTGTAAATTATATCTTAATTTTTATGTCGATTTACTTTCAACTTGCATTTGTCAGATTCTAGCAAATATAACAATACAAGTCATATTGATTACTTTAAATTGAATGCATATACCACTACAATTAAATATTAATCAATTAACAATCAATGTTTTTTTTTCATTCTTAATTAATAATCTTTAATTACCATTTTATCAAATACTAGTAATAATACTTATTTTGATCAAATTATAATGTATACCATATATATATATTTCCCATGACTGGTTGTATATTTTTATATACGAAATATAATTATCATTTTAATGGTAATACTTTATTATTAAAATAAATGTAAACATATACAAAATAATGTGATAATTGGTCCTATGTATTTTTTTTCCACCAGTATTTGAATAAATGAAAACATTATTCTAGTTTTGTTAGAAAGAAAATGACACTGATCTGTTAGAAGTTATTGAGATTTAGCTGTTCTTTCCTAGTTTATGGATTTAACATGTTTTGACATAGATAATTGTTTAGTTTGGGACAGTTAATGATAAGTATATGTTATACATTTTATTCCTAACTAAAATAAAAAGTAAAGGTCACACAGCATATTAATTTCATCTTTTTTTTTTTTTTTTTTTAATATTTCTGTTAAAAAAAGTCAATGTTTGTAAAATAAGATATAAATATTTAAGAGAAATGAAGTGGATTTATCATTTATATTATGAATTATCATAATTGTGTTACATTTATATCAGTGATTAGGTTATGTTGTAATCTACTGTTAACTGTATTTTATATCTTCTGATTGTGTCCCAGAAAACTTTTGAATTTAAGAATTAAATGTCAGTCACTGTGTCAAGTTAAAGTAAAAATTAATTTAATGTATCTTTTTTATTGGCCAACAATGTACAGCGAAATTATTAGCAGCATTTTAAATAAGTATTTGTAATTTTTTTTCGTTTTGTTGAAATTTATTTAATATACGTTTATAAAATAAAATAGAAAATCATGAAAGAAATTGAAATTATATGTTTGAATTTTACATATAAATCAAAAAGGTACTAAATATATTTGATTCTCAAATATTTATCTGAGCATCAAATATTGAAAATAACATGAAGAAATATATAAAAATAAAAATCTGAATCATCAATCGACCCTAATTCATATCAATTTGAAAGAACTCATTTACATTGTTGAAGTCATGAGAAATGTTAAAAATTGTAAAATATTTACTTAGTTTTTCAAATTTAAAGGTACAAATAAAGCAATTAACGGTTCTGATAAATTCAGTAAATAATACAATAATCTCGACTAATTTTTGTACGCTTAATCCGAGACGAAGTATTCGTTTCAACCTGGTATAATTATATTTTTGCTTAATTTTTATTATTATTATTATTATTATATTTGTACAACTAGATTTTTATTTACATGTAGAGGAATATCATCATTAATTTATGGTAAAAATTGTATACCTCAATATTTATAAAAAAAAAAAACAACTCTTTTTAAAATATGATCATATTTAACAATCAATAAACTTTTTTATTTAGCAGAGATTTGTAATTATGACTTTAAATCACTGTTTTTTAAACTGAAGATCTAACAAATTTATATCACATTTTTGCCTCTAAATACAAAATATTTGTACAAATATCAGCCTGAAAATCGATTTTTTTAGCATTTCTGTAATTGAATTTTTTATACAGTAGTTGACTGATAACTGCTTTCTCTTTTTTATCACGTTGTTATAAGATTGTAGACACAATTTTGTTACATAGTCAAACAAAATTTGATGTCTTTTTGTTGAAACTAACTTATATAATATAAATAATAACTGTAGTTAGATTAATAAATCATAAAGAAATTTATAAAGATTGTATCGAAGAAGGAAAAAATAAATAAAAAATAAAGTATTTAGTCTGTCAAATTGGAGGAGATTAATATTAAATTGAGATATTTTTATTGTAAATGTCCAGATGTGGAGATGCAATATGAAAATGGAATGTGTGAAAGTATTTTAAATCATTAAATGTATTAAAAAAAAAAAAAAATATGTATATGCTGCATATGTTCAATTTTATAAGGATGTGTTTTCTATTGTCACTGCCAAAGTGCAAATTTTGTATTTGAGTACATTTAGATTATTGGTAATGGAAATTTTGTATCAAATAATAATGCTAATTAATTATTGTTTCATACAAGCTGTGTATTTGAAATATTATTATTATTATTATTTTTTTTTTTGTAATATTTGTATGCATAAAGTTTTATATTTGTTGAAGTCAAAGCAAATTTTTGATCTAATTTATATATTTGCTTTATGAGAATAGTTATTATCCTGGTGCAAATGATTGTTTCTGTTTGATATCCATAGAGGTTATAATGGTGTGTAATATGCCATTAAAAAAAACCTCATTCTTGGATTGTTCTTCATAGAAATTATGAAAATAAAGTAGATAGATGTAATGAAATGTGTGTATTGATTTTTTTTCAAAATTTTAAAAGGAGAGATTCATTAAGTTTAAGGAAGAGGAGGTAGCGAAGAGCATCATATTGTACACAATGAAAGGTTGAGGCAGGGCCGGATCATCGCATAGACAAATGAGACAAATGTCTTGGGCCCTGGTTTTAGAAGGGCCTGGTCAAACTCTATTTTGAAAAGATTTGTAAATTAGATAGTTTACTTTTCTGTTGGACAACTGTATGTAATACTGGTAAAACTAGTAAAATATTATATTATTTAAATATTAACCGAAAAGGTTAAATTAAACAAGTAAAACGGCAAAACCGTATTTGGGACAAGACTATGTCTCGGAGACTCACTACTAACGGCGGAATCAGTTTGACGCTTAAGGCGGATCTCGTTCTCATTCTCCAATCTTCTTTCGTATCGCTGCTTTCGGGCGCGATCATTCAAACTACGCTGGCCACGACCAATGTTCCCTCTAATTTTTTTTGTAGATGAACGGAACATATACTTCTCTGAGCAAAAAATTTTTCTGAGCATATATATAAAATCTTATTTTTTCCTATACAAAAAATAAATAATTATAAAGTAGAGATTAAAATTCATTTTAAAACATACTTTTATACAAAATATTATCTTTTATCAATGATTTAATGTATTTAATCGAAATATACGCAGCAATAATCGTGTTGCAGACAGAATGAGAAATAAGTAAACAACAATTCAAATCATGCTCGCTTGCACGGCACATAAATTCTCGTGTGCGGCAACAATTTGAGCAGTGCGCGGCCGCGCAGCTTAGAGGGAACATTGGCCACGACCACGAGGTCGTCCACGATACATTTTCGGTGAAATTAACCTATCCAATTTGGAAATTTCTCTCCGTTGCAACCCATCGGCCCGGGTTGAATTTTTGTCGATGCCTAACGAAAATTTCCCTTTTTTGAAAAAATAATCGTAGCTATTGTATCGTCCGAAATTATTTTATTTTGCACAAATAATATACAGTTTAACCCGATTATAACGTCATCGGATGTAACGACAATCCTAATATAACGTCTAATTTTTATCGGTTCCACGATTTTACTATACTAGATAATATTAAAATAACCTACTTGTAACGACATAAAACCCTGTTTTATGTCGTTACAAGTACTCCCAAATTTACAAAATTAGATTACAAATTTTATTTAACAAAGAAAATACTACGTGTTCAGTCCTAGGGTCAGAGTCCACTTTCTAGAACGACTGTGTGTGGTACTCTCACCACCTGACTTCGGTTTGCCTGTTTGTAGAGAGAGTCGCCATTTTGTATTTTATTTTGACTCGGTTCTCGATCCCTGAGTACCTACAAATCTGGTTTTTTTATGCGCGCATGATTTGGGCACTCTGTGCCAAATTGCAACTCCTGACATGTACAGTACAGTACTCCTTCATACCTCTAAGCTGGTAACACAGTAGGCAGTGGCGTACCGTAGTGGGGGCGGCAAAATTTCACAATAAATAATAATAATATCTTGTAAAAATTTGAAACATCCTAATCTATACTTGCACTGCTCCTACAATAGTGCTATCGTCCGGACAGTCCGGGAATCGGCTCGCCGGGTGAGCTAGTAGCTTTTTCATCCGAGGAATTCCTGCGAAACCTGTTGACTGTTTTTTTTTTTGTCTGTACAATTCATTCGCGTTCATATACACCACTAATAATATCCAATAGAACTATTTTAAACAGGTCGCTGCACTACCACCGAATTTTTCATTGCTTGTTCTGTGACAAAACTGAATTTTGGTCTTTTAAATTGAAATACCTAACTAAGGAGGGGCGAAATTTTCCTCCGCCCCGGGCGCTGACACCCACAGTAGCCACTGATAGTAGGCAGTAGGGAAAATACGTACAAAATGACATAGGCAACATAATTCGAATTTGGCAGTCTCAAGCGCGCAACTGACCACGACATCACGTTATCCGAGCTGCTTTTACTATCCTGTCAAAACGTGAACGCACTCCTCTCATTCGCCGGGTGTCATGGCCGACGACAAGTTTTGATACGTTACAAGTTTTTTTCTTGCAACAAATTTTTTGTATAGATGGCAAGTTTTTCACTATTTTATCTATTTGTGTAGCATTTATTTCAACCCCCAATAATTTGTTGTTGTACTTAAATAACTTTTTCGATTAAAAATATCATCTTTGTATTTATTTTATAATTTTGTTTTCTTTTTTTTATAACGGTATGTGGACAAAACGACATACATAGGCAACGGACATAATGACATAGGTACATAAGTCATTATTACTATAACCTCTTAACGTTTTATTAATTATAAAAAATGGCTTCCAAAAAATATTTCATTATTGTTTAAAAGAAAGCATCTGTTTTATTTGAAAAAAAAAAGGTATTTTTAAATTTTTTTCAACGTCGAACTTGGTTCCTAAATTGCTTTTTTTCCTTTGGATAGCCAACTTTACAGGGCCCCTTGTGATTCGGTTTCTCTGTATTATTCGTATTATTCGTCAAACCTCTTTAGTTTTAACTTCTACTCCTAATATGAAGACAATTAAATCAAAAAATGAGCCCAAAGCGCCGCCATAGAAAAGGAGACGAAACGTTGCTAAAAAGTTACTTGAAGAAGACAGTGAAGAAGAAAATTTTTCTGATAATTCTCAAGATAATGAAGAGGACTGTTCATGCATATATTGCAATGATGTTTTTTCCCGATCTAAGCCTGGAGAAGACTGGTTACGGTGCTTAAATTGTTTGCGTTGGGCTCACGCTTCTTGCGCTGACGTTTCATTTATGAACTTTGTCAGTAATTTTAGTTTTTACATGTATGTCATTTTGTCCTTACGTAATGTGCCATTTTGTCCATAGCATATGGACAAAATGGATTTTGGCTGATCTTAATTAAACAAACAATATTTTTTTTCTATTATAATAANGAGAAAGTTTTAGTAGAAACAGAATGGCTGGAACTCACATCTTGGGTTCCTGGTGGTTTATATGTTGGTGGTGTTGGGGTTGCATTAGAGTCGAATACAGGTTTACTAAATGGCATATCCTGTTTCTGTGGTGGCCACGTAAACTTGCTGCCACCTGAAAGTGTAGTGTTATTTTGTATTAATTTTGAAGTAAACAGTCGGTAATAAAATTGATATTTTAATTTTTTAAATAATATGTATTGATAATCACACAAAGCAAAAGAGAGGGTAAGATCTAAAGTTTTTTAAAATTCTTTCCGCCCTGCAGGCACTAAGAGAGCCTTTTTTTCAATGCCTATCATGAAAAATCCTGAATGCCTCTTTTCATGGGTACGGCCAGGCGCACAATGGGGGCAGTCCGATAGCGAGGGACGGGGTCAGATCTATCCAGCAAGACATAAATTTCTAGTATTCGACCGGATTAAAACCTGAATCCCCAGAATCACAGGCTAGTGCCTTATCACCTCGGCCATCAGACAGTCCAGTATCTATTGGGTTGTCAATTGGCAGATTTATTCTATTATTAAATAGAAAATAAGGATAGGAGAATTTTTTTTATATCTTCGATGATTTATTAAATCTATTTCTATATGAAATCAAATTAAATATTTCATCCTCGTTAAGACACAATTAACTTAAATGTAAAATAATTGTAAATACTGACTAATATATCAAAATATTCTTATCCCTACCTGTTACTGGAGAATGAGCTCTAGTTATTTGCGTGAACTTTGAGTAAGCAGATTTAGAGAAAGACATGGGAGCTACCGGCTTTGTAGGCTAAAAAAAAATTATTAAAATAAGATCGCGTGTTATAAATTAATTGTTATAAATGACAAAGAGACTCACAGCAGGACGGCTGATGAATTGCGATGGATTAGTCGATTGACTTCCGATCTGTGGCGGTGGTGCTTGAGCAAAAGATAATGGTGACTGGCATCTCTTTGGACTCATTGGTGGTTCCACATGATGCACTTCCGAAGCCATTCTCTATAGAAAGTGAGAAAAACATATTTCAGCAGAGAATTTGAAAATTACGATTATTTGCTGAATGATTTTTATTTAGATTACTCGGAAAGGTATTGGTGAAACACTATGAATGGAAGGCAATCCTGGTGACTGATGAGGAATACGCAGTGGAGGAAGTGGAGCAGTAACAGGTTTTCCCACAGCTTCTTTTCTGTACAAATAGATGGATTTTATATTCCAGATTATTTATCTCGTCTGCCATTAAAATTTAAGAACTTACATAGCTTCTACACTGGCCATTTTGCTAGCTGTTTTAGCGTGCACCTCGCAATACAGTTTCTCATTGATATTATAATGACCTAATAAAAACGATAAATATCAAATTATATAAACACTGAATTTCATTATTATATAAGTTCAGAGTCGTTTACTTACCAACATTCTTCAAAGATACGCCACAAGTATTGCATTTGAAACAATCTGGATGAAGTGATCGATCACCTATTCGTGCGAACACACCTCTAAAATGAATATAAATAAAATTTTCAATTTGTTATAATTTTCGTTTTGTAAATATTTCGTAAACTTACGTAATATAGGCTCCGCATTCAGCACAAATGGCTTGTCCTCCGCCTGGAGCTACACTTTCGGCTGGTCTTGCTGGTAAAGGCTTTGGAGCTGTGGGTGGAGGTGGGGCTTGAACACGAGCTGGAGCTGGAGCTGGGGCAGGAGCAGGAGCAGGTATACGCGGAGCAGGAGAAGACATTGCTGGTATAGTTGGTGTAGGAGGTGCGGGCGATGCTAAAATATATATATAAAAAAAAGAAATTGAAAGTTTTTAGACCCTTCTGGATTCGATCCCGGCTCTCCAGAGCGGTATATTGTCACCTTAAATCCGGCTTTAATCTGGTCATTTCTCAAAGTATATATAATAATAAATCCAATTACCTTTTCCAGAACTAATTTCTTCTTCGTGAACAAGTTTATAGACAGCCGATTGAGTATTGATAGGTTGTTCTTCCTTCATAAAATTGATCCTAAAAATATTTTTTTTTTTTTAATATATTTAGGAGTTTCGTATTTGAATCTAATTGTGTGTTTAAGATTCTTACCCTTTTACACCTGTAGCAAGAATTTCTGTATGGGCAGAAAGTGTTTCTGCGATATTTTGCATCGAATATAAAGCAGCGGGTGAATTGAATTGTTTATGCATAACAGCTGTTACAGTTCCACTATCCTGAATAGATTTTGTACTAATTTGTCTCTGCATAGTTTCCTGTAAATAAGTTATAAAATATTTTATATGCTAAAATATGTAAATTTAATAAGATAGATAAACATTAATTTGATATACTTGAGTAAAAGAAGTTTTCGATCACCTGCTTCTATTGGAAATCCACATCCTACACATTTTGTAGTAAACAATTCATTCCAATCTACGAAAATAAATAAATAAAATTGGCATTAATTCAATTGTGTTATGTAATTTTATTATGTTTTACAGATAAGATTGTTCGAGAGGGGATAATTTGAAAGTGTTCCCGTTTTACCTTTTTCGCAATAAGGTAACCCGTCTTCCAGGAAGAAAGAATCATTGCCAAAAGGTTTGTTGCAATAAGCACAGATAAAACAGTCTGTGTGCCAGTGTTTATCCAATGCAATAAGACATTCCTGTAAAGAAAAAAAGAATGAAATATTATGTCAGTAATCTTTTATTAAGGCATTCGAATTTAATTTTTGATGTTTTGGAGCATTTTTTTTTTTTTGCTACCTCTTTAATACGCTTGTTGCATTTAGCACAGACGGGAGCCAGGTAAGCTTCGTAACAATTTTCGCAGTATAATTGACCTTGATCTTCCACAAATCCAATGTCTTGCAGAGGTTGACGACAGACGGAATTAGTGCACAAGAAATGATCTGGACACCAACTTTTGCTAAGTGCCATTATGAAGGGACCTCTACAAAAAAAAGAATTATTTTGTCGTATACGTTTTAGAGGTAGTTGAATGAGTAATAAGTAGCCCATTTACCTGATGGGTGAGGCGCAAGCAGCACAGATCGGAATTCGACTTCCTCCAGAGGTTATTAATTGACCTCTTCCTCGTCGAGGTGCGGGACGAGAACCGATTCCTGGTGCATGTCCGTGCTGTCCAGATGCAGGTTTAGGTTTAAAGTCTTGTGGAGGTGCTGGGGTAGGATCTGCAGGTGGTAGAGAAATAGGAGTTGGATCAGCAGGAGCCGGAGCGGGTATTTCGGTTGGTAAAGAAACGGGAGCCGATTCTTGGGGTGGGCTCGATACTGGAGCTTGGGGTGGGCTTGGTAACGAAACTGGTTCTTGGGGTGGGCTTGGCATTGATACTGGAGCTGGTGCAGGGGGAAGTGATGGTTCTGAAAAGGGAGCAGGGATCGATGAAGACATGGACGAGAATGACGTACTTTGGACTTGTGCCGATTGAAACGAGGAAACGACTTTACTAGATTCGACAGATGAGAAAGTTTTAGTAGAAACAGAATGGCTGGAACTCACATCTTGGGTTCCTGGTGGTTTATANAGAGAAAAATAAAAGAAATTCGATCCTTGTGTTATGTATGAGCATATAATACTTTTTTTTTTTTTTTTAATCCCATTAAGCAATAAATAAATGCCGTGTTATGTTTCAAAGTACTGAGGATGCTTGATATTTGATAAATGTTTCATTTAAAGAATTTTTACACCTTGTTAAACAGGAATCAATCTATCTCCTTACTCTTCGTATTAATGAGTACTTAAAATACATTTGTACCTTTGTATAGTTAACTTTACACTGTTTCCTTCTCTTATAATTGTATCTTGAGCTTCCTTGTGTTTCATATCATCTGTCGAATGACCTCCTATTTGTAGAATGGTATCTCCTGGTTGAAGACCCGCTTTTTGGGCCAGGCTGTTATTGTTTACCTATAAAGAGTTCAAATGTTATTGTTTAAAAATAACCAAAGCATGAAGAAGACTACAGAGAAAGAAACTGGATAAGACAAGTCAAGGTTTGTCTGAACAACATCCGATGCCAAATATGGAGACAGCTAAAGAATCATTTTCTACATTTAATTGTTCTATACGGGAAATCCAGTTAAATTAATCGTCGTAATTAAATTCTTCGATAATCTATCGATTATTTTTCTAAACTAATATAGAAAATCCCATTTAAAACAGAAAAAGAATTATTTATTAGGAAATTTTTTCTAATAAATAATTTTACCGTAAATTTATTTATTAATTTTAAATAAATTACGTTATATAGAAATTTTTATTTTGTATATCATTAATAAGAAAGTAGCGGTAAAAAAAGATTTGAAAAAAAAAGAAAACGGAGAACAAAAGGATCGTTGCTATTTTTAGATCGTAGGATGAAGTAATTTTATGACCGTGGTGCTTCTAATAGAGTACACACTGGAATGCAGTTACTAGAGTTAAATCTCAGTACAGATTTTATAAATTCCATCTAAAAAATAAAATAAAAAACCCCTCCATATTCATTACCGATGTGAATGTCCGAAAGTACAATACGAAGCCACGATCTATTATTTAGTTTTTGCAAGCAATTTTATAATTATTACGTGGTTTTATTAATTAAAAAACCATTTAATCTAGCTTAATTTAAACTTTGTCCTTTAATTGTATTTAATTTAAAATAATTCTTAACAGTATCTAACAGTTAATAATTAATCGACTCTTTTATAAATAGAAAAGAAAGTCTGAGCCAAACTATTATTATATGGATTCTTTTAAAGTCTAAGACATAGTTTCATTTTTTTTTTTTATCATGATTTAGACTTATGAGAAATTCTATTTTAATAGCATTTGAAATCAATATAAAGTACAATTGATTAACCTTTAAAATTTTTAGGAATTAACGTAGGGTTTAAATACATTCACCGACAATCCTTTGATTGAAACTAGGCCAGAGTTACGATTTAACTAAATGTTGTGTCAGCAGATGATGATGAAGGAATGATCTCAGAATAGACATTTTAAGGTTACTAAATTTCTAATTTGTAAAAGACCTAGCCTTGCTGACTAAATTGTCTGACAATTAATAGGAAATCTTGGCATAAAGGTAATAGTCTAAGATAATTCTAAACGTATAGCAAAATACTATAACATTCTACAATAAAATCGTATACAATGGAATATAGTATCTTGATGAATGAACATCTCTTTATGATATACCAATATTGTTTTATTTCGATCTATTCACAGAAAAATCCCATTATTCAACACGTTCCGATAATTTACTACCCGAATTTACAGGGTTTTTATTTTATATTTTCACACCAAAGAACTACACAAGTGCGATTATCAAATTAACATATAAAGCAATCTGAAATGATTCGATTAAACGATGTTAATTTCGTTTAATCGAATCATTTCAGATTGCTTAAAACGATAGAAATTTACAAGAAATCATCCATTTAAAATAATACATTATAAAATAATGAATATAATCCCAAGAGATTTGTAAAAATTTCCATCAAACATCTAAACGGTACTAATATCATACGGGATGACTTACCTTTAGAACTGTTAAAGGTGTTCCAAACTCTTTTCCCCCTTGTAGCCGGAAGCCCCAAGGGGAGGTATCGGATCGAGATAATTGTAAAGTTTGCGTACCCATCCCAGTCCCTTCCGTGCACGAGAAACTTTCGACAGATTCTGTTCTTGTAGATCTAACTCTCTCACTACGATACTTGCCAAAGAGCACTCGCGCCACAGCTCTCTATTTGTGTACATCACCTCGGGAATTAATACAATTCACAAGAATTTTTAAAACTAAGACATTGTTTATCACAAATAATACTTTATTAAATCAATAAATTGTTAATAATAAGAAGAGATTTTACCGAATATTACAAAGGAATGCTTTGTATATTATTCGAATCCCCCATTGTATAGTTTACTATATTTTAAATTTTGTATACTATTTATTTTATTGACAAATTTCAGTTTTCTTTAAATACTTATCATCCTCGTACACTTTATAATAATTTAAGATGCGTATTGAATTAGTGTATTTGAACGAAATACTTAAAAGTATGTATGAATATACATATAGTCGACCCCCCTATAACACTGTTGATTATTCCGTTTTATATGAATTCCATGTTAAACGAGTCACTTAGATTTTACAAATACGTAGTGCCGGGTTGTGAACGGCTCACGTATTTGTAAAATCTAAGTGACTCGTACAACATGGTATTCATATAAAACGGAATTATCAACAGTGTTATAGGGGGTCGACTGTGTATTTCTATGTTAATAAATTTGCTAAGATTATAAAGGGATTGTTTATTAATTATGTTTATAGTTTAAGGGGAATGGAATCGCGAATAGTATAGTACGTTGTACACAAGGAGGGAGGGGGTGTGTATGTGGGAGGAGCACGATTTTGTTCACCCTCTTTGAAGCTTAATAACACCTATGTCTTTTATAAAACCTATCCCCACCCTCAAAACTAAGCATTTTGTTATTTTTATAACAATTAAAAATATTTTAAAAAATTTTAAATGAAATATCATAACAGATGGAGCCATTTACAGTTTTAAATGTCGGAAAAGTTAAGCAACTCGTTGCTGGCATTTTTATGGTACTATTATAATATTTTATATTTTTTATTAAGAAATTTTTATATATTAATATTTTACAAGCCGGTTATATGTTTAAAATACAATTTCCAAGGAGTGCGAATTATGGGTTAGTATTTTAAACTTCAAAAACGAACTAACGCTTATGGAGGAATGGCTGCTTCTATAGGTTTTGTTTTTATTATGGTAAATTTCTGCTGATATATAATACGTTATCGCAGGTTATACTCAGTGCCGTTATTCACTCTAATTCTAACCCCGTTTTCTATTATTTCTCCCTACTATCTCCTTATTTTAACAAAGGGTAACTCTATGTGAATTAATTATGGCTCATATTTGTGTAAACAAGTAAAAGGCTCGAGACAAACTCGTACAATGATCCTTGAAAACCACACTCTTTAAAGATAAAGATTTAAATTATTATATATAATAAATTAGAGATTTCATTATAATATTCAAGGAATTAAGACAATCATTTTTGCATTAGAAATTTACAATTGAGATTAGAATAGGAATATTTCTTAATTAATGCAAGTTATGTTTTCACAACATTCGTCTATCGTGGCCAAAGTGACGACGAAACATTAACCAGTGTTCTCGTGTTTAATAAAAGATTATATTACATTTACTGGTCAAGTTTAAATTTATTGATAAATGTAAATAAATACAAATAATAGAGGAGAAGGTGATATTATGGAACCCCAATTATATTTTAGTGAATTGTAAACGAAGTATCACAACTACACCCACATTTTTTGTGCGAAAAGTACTGGTAACTAGTAAACTAAATGTTCCTAATTGGATTTTTCGCTAGTGTAACTATAAGTATGGTTTTTGAAGGCTTTTGTACAAAAAGTCCGAAAGTAGGCTTAGAGAAAATCGGGTGGTAATATGGAACCTTACCGTATATTTTCAAAAAAATGCTTTAATGTAGCCAAAAACAAATAGGAAAGGACAAAAAATGTTAAATAATTACAAAATTATTTACTCCAATGTATTTTATCGCAAAAATGCTTTTATAATAGAAAAATATGACCTCCATCAACAATATATATTCCAGCAGCTCTTTTTCGATATTCTCGGGAAGAATTGGCTTTCTACCTAGTGTCTTTTTCACAAATTGCTCTGGAGGAATGTCTGCTTGCAAATAGAAAGTTCGGAGGAGTTGAGTTCCATATTACTGTAAAAGCACCAATGGGGTCCGTATTTCACGCATCGCCATCTCGAATTAACTTATGTCTGTCGAGACCAAAATTTAAAAAACGTGAACATCACACAGATTAATATGTACCCCTAAGTCTCTGGAACGGAATACATGCACCAGTGAACCTACAACTACACGATTTATATTTTAAAAATAATTAAATTCACTTAGCATTCAAAACTTGCGAATTTTGAAAAAAACAAATTTGCTGATTAAATACGGACAACCGTTTAACTGAAGTAAAACGGGTTTTCCCCTTGCTATGGATGTCTGCCTAGTTCAGCTCAGCCACAATCCGCTACAGTTCGCCTTTATTATCAGTTCGAAATGGGGTGGTTCCATAATACCTGCAGTGTTCCATAATACCACCTTCTCCTCTATACTTACAAACAGGTAGGAGCATAGAAACATATCTGCGGTGTTTATACAGGAAAAAAAAAACAATACATATACAAAAAATACAGTCGACCCCCCTATAACACTGTAGATAATTCCGTGTTATATGAATTCCATGTTGTACGAGTCACTTAGATTTTACGAATACATGTGCCGGGCTGTGTGTGAATGGCTCACGTATTTGTAAAATCTAGTGACTCGTACAACATGGAATTCATATAACACGGAATTATCTACAGTGTTATAGGAGGGTCTACTGTATCATAAAAATTTTAATGAAATGGTCAAGGACAATTAAAATGCTTTTCATATTTTTAATTACTATAAAATGGCAGGGCAGGGATGAGTTTTCTAAAAAATCGTAAAAGCTAATAACGAGTAAAATCATAATTAAGCCTGGCCCTATTCGAAATACGACACACGATCCCCTTTTATCTCCCCATCCTTCAATCTTTAACCACCATTAATTAATAGTATCAATCCCCATAATACATAAACCTCCCTGTAAAAGTGTTGGAAATTTTCGACGAAAAGCACAGAAGTTAAGCTTCAAAGAGAGTGAACGAAATCGTGCCTCCCCCCACACACTAACATTCATACATACAGAAAAACCCCCCGAATTTTTTTACATTTCTTTTCAGCTCCCTTCAGTCCAAAAAAAAAAATGTAAAAAATCTTGGGGATTTTTGACTGATCGCCGCACTTTTCCTCTATTATATATAACAAGGCCGAGAAGCAGAGTGAAGAAAAATCATCCAGAACAGTCTTCTTACGATATAAATCGACGATCTGGCTAATAAAAAACAAATTTTTTGTTGTATAGAATAATATTTTTTAGATATTTCTAGATAAAACTTATAATATTTACATTAGGTAAAACAACTATTTTCTTATTGCTCTTGGTTTTTTCTCTTATCCACAGGACACCTACGAACAAGAGGGCCATAGTTAATCCTCCCACGTAACACAGAAAAACCCCAGCTAAATTGTTAATATCCATTTGATGTTCTTCGCTTCCTATTCTATTATCTGAAATTTAAACACAATAAATTTTTATGAACTAACACATCGTTTTAAAATAACTTTATATTAATATATTACCGGCACAATTATTGATAAACCATCGTTTATTCAAAAAATCCATATATCCTTCTTCTCTTAGCTTTAAGATAGATGATGTGAATTGTTTCTCAAACGGAGAACCTTTAGGTAAACCAAGTCCATAATTTTGCTGTTAAAATTAAAAGATTATAATAGTACAATTATTTATATAAACAATTGATATAAGTATTAAAATTATTTTTAATTTACTAATCCGAAAAGTCTTCCAATTCGTTCCACATTGCATGGCCTCTGCATAGCAATGTAATCCAGAATTGGAGAATCAAATATAAAAGCGAAACGATCCTTATGACCTGAAATATTCAACACACATTGATTAATTTCTTACAACAATAAAAGGTATGTTATTATTAATTAACTCATGCGTCATTTCTTAATTAATATTTTATGTATTACCTTCTGGCAAATAATACGATGCTCTAACTCTCTCTATGCCCAGGAAACTATCGTTTAAGAATGTATTATGCTTTTTCATTATCTTGTAAGCTATTTTGTGGATTTTGTAATGACTATTGGAGAAAAAGTTCTCAACATAAGAATCTTTCAAAGTTCCAAATGAAATTGTATTGAACTTCACTAAATCTTCCAAAGAATTAATTTCTAAAAAATACAGTATTTATGAAGATATTTCGTATTAAAGTATTTAATTAAATGATTTTATTACCTTGTTTCATATTCTGTACTGTCATAAATGCTGCTAATTTTGCTGTATATGCAGCAATAAGAATAACCGTAGTTAACCACCAAGTCATCATTACAATTCTTGTTGGAAGATTGTTTTTTTGTTCAAATTCTGTTCCCTAAATACATATTATTAATTTAATTAAGTTTTTCATTATACAAATAAAGTCGTTATCAACAAATAATTAATCACCAACCGGTGCTACAAGCGACGAAAAACTCCACCAAAGTGCTTGTGGAAAAGTGATCCAAGAAGAATCTCTAACGCTTTGATTTATTTTCTTTCTCTCTATTCTACTATTGTTAAAATTACTTGGTGTTAAATTTATACATATTGCAAGAACTAGGGAAGTAAAAATCACCGACACAGCAATGGTAAGCCACACTGTTGTTTCGAAAGGTGATAAAAATGCAAAATAATTTTCAGTAGTTTTGGCATTATATCTTGGCATTAATATAGCCAAACCTAAATCGTAATAAGGAGCTGTAAAGGTGATAACTTCTTGTCTTTTCCAAGATATCGTCAAAGGAGCTAGTGCCAAATCTATTTTCTAAATATACGAAATGTTTTATAAATCTCAATACCAGATTTAACTACAGTATAGAAGTACAGTCGACCCCCCCATAACACTGTTGATTATTTCGTTTTATATGAATTTCATGTTGTACGAGTCACTTGGATTTTACAAATACGTGTGCCGGGCTGTGAACGGCACACGTATTTGTAAAATCCAAGTGACTCGTACAACATGGAATTCATATAAAACGAAATAATCAACAGTGTTATAGGGGGATCGACTCGTATTCAATAATATTTCTATCGATACCTCATCCATTAATTGTCTAATTAGTCCATTCCATTCTTTTGTTTCGGGATTTTCAGCTCCATATTCGTAAATTTCGTGAAATTTAAATTTAAATTTAAGCATTTCTTGTAATTTTAAAAGAAGGTCTATAAGTAATCCTTCGTATTTAGAATGCATAGGATCGCCTTCTTTATAATAAGGATTTTTCATTATAAAAGGCTCATCCTAGAAAAATGTATGTAAATTAACTAATAATTACATTGATAAATAATCTCTATTAATTAATATATTATAAAATATAATAATAGATGATGATAATAATAATAATAATAATAATCCTTTGTCTCTTACCACAATTATTCCAATATTAAGTGTTCTTCCGGAAAGACTTTGATGAGAATTAGTAGGAGGAATTGTAGTTTGGCCAGGAAATATGATTTCTGAATTAATCTTCAAGTTTTTCTCGTTTCCTAACCATTTTCCTACCTAAATATTTCAGTGAAAATATGTGTTACATGTTAACACTATTGAAGGAATCTTGAATATTATAAATTGCTTACTTTAACGAAACCTCTCATTTGAAGATTTTCGATGTCAAAATTAGTGAGATGATGGTAACCAAATTTCGTAAACCTTAAAGGCCCTAAACTTCCATTAACGTTATTTAAATTAAGAATACTTTCCAATAGATTTCTACCCCATTTCCACTTATCGATAGAATCTATGCAACTTCCTTTTTGGAAAGTAGGAAGTTCGAAAGATACTTTCTCTTCGTAAAGAATTCTGTGAAGTCCGTTGGCAATTGCTAACACTGTCATATTCTGTACTGTCATAAATGCTGCTAATTTTGCTGTATATGCAGCAATAAGAATAACCGTAGTTAACCACCAAGTCATCATTACAATTCTTGTTGGAAGATTGTTTTTTTGTTCAAATTCTGTTCCCTAAATACATATTATTAATTTAATTAAGTTTTTCATTATACAAATAAAGTCGTTATCAACAAATAATTAATCACCAACCGGTGCTACAAGCGACGAAAAACTCCACCAAAGTGCTTGTGGAAAAGTGATCCAAGAAGAATCTCTAACGCTTTGATTTATTTTCTTTCTCTCTATTCTACTATTGTTAAAATTACTTGGTGTTAAATTTATACATATTGCAAGAACTAGGGAAGTAAAAATCACCGACACAGCAATGGTAAGCCACACTNAATCTTTGGCTATGTCTTGGGCTACTCAAATATTTTACGTTTTTGATACTAAATTAACTTCTGAAGTATAATTTTTTATTGTTTTTATATTTTTCAATATATTTATTTTGTTCGTACAAAATAAAAAAATAATTTTTAACGATACAATAGTCTTCGTTAAGCTTAACATCGACGAAAATTCAACGCGAAGCGACACGCAACGGAGAAAAATGTCAAGATGGGATAAGTTAATATATTTTTTCGTACATAATCGGTTATCCGAAACACCGATCTTCCGAACAATCCCAGTCCCGGATTGATTCGGATAATCGACGCTCTACTGTATTTATGAATTCCACTATTGTCGCTTCCACCTGATTCTTCATTTCTCGAATAATACAGTTTCGCTTGGAAAACGCTGTAGGTTCGTCTTCTCCTTTGCATTTTCGGATGTGGACGGTTGCAAAGATTGATCACTTTGGACATATATTCTTATTATAATAGGCCTTATTTCTATCAAAAGTAGTGGTTAACCAGAAGTATTACGACAAAGCTCAACTGTATTTAAATTGCAATTTATAAACATGTAATTTTGCTATTCACGAGCTCCGCGTGCTACACATTTGCGTTTCGAAACGCAAATGTGTAACACGTCGTTCTAACTGAATAAAGATTGAAAACTTGCCAAGTGTTGATAAAGAAGGTCACTTCATTGTGCCAGTATACAAACATAAATAAGAACACGGTTTTCGATAACAACAACAATAAATAATTGCTCATAAATACACGTAAATAGACTCTACAACAAATTATAATGCAATAATATATAAATATAAATTTTAATTTAAAATCCGATCAATAAACAATGTTTTACGTATCTAAAAAACAGAATTCAATCTGTTGTAGGCAACTATATTCTGCATATTGATTACAATTGAGGGTTTCTATTGTTTATAGCAGTGCTCTTATACGTAACTAACGTTTACAATAATCTGAGTATTAATCAAATTCAGAGTTTTATTATGAAAAACTGAATTCTCTAAAATCTAAAGTAACAACACGCAACATAGAAATAATCATTACTTCAATTTAAATATAGCGAATAACAATAAAGTTTACTGCATTATTAAACACAAAACAAGAATAAAAACTTGCCTGGTTCATTATCTTCTGTTAAAATAGCAAAAGCATCCCATCCATAATATTTCAAGATATGTATTAAGGCGTAATTTTGAAAGGTATCCGGCGGTGACATTTTCAAAAGTGTAGACGACGATTGATTCAAAATCGGTATTAAAGATAACATCGGGTCTGTGGCCAAGATACTTATCTGCGGTATTCCCAATTGGCCACACACAGTTTGGGCAACTTTGGAATCTAAAGACGTTAGTGGTCCGACTATCGATATAACTCGTTGATCTACTAAATTGCACGCTGGAAAATTATATATCTGCATTTAATTTAACTAATAAAATAATTTTAATATAACTTGTATAAATTTACCGGCTCTAATAAGTTCTAATTGCGCAGAAGCATTCTCTGTAATCGGAATCAGTTTCGTATTGGGTAATAAATTCGAATCTGAATTTATATTGTCTATAGCTAACCGAAATGTTTCTTCTAATATAGGAGGAGAAGGCGGAAAAATGGCACCTGAAATGAAAATAAAGAGTAAATAGCTAGGTTGTGGCCGAAGTTTTAATCTGTAAAACGTGAACGTCGAACGTCAAGCGCCGCTCGACGTTCGACGTTCACGTTTTAGAGATGAAAACTTCGGCCGCAACCTCGCTTATATTAAATTTTTTTTATGCAATATATTCTCGCTTCTACTGCCTAATGGTTCCTAGAAAACCGCCATAAAGCGAGCCTTATTTCCCATGTATTCTATGTCAGTAATTGAGATTCGTTCCTACAAATAACAATTTTAACTAAAATCATACCATAATGATATGAAGTACGACATTTAAATATAGCAATTTGCAAACATAGCATAATACTGTAAAGAGAGTCTATTGTTTATAAAGAAAGATTTTTCTAATTTTCCTGTTAAGAGGCATAAATTAAATAAATTTATTTTATTTACTAATTACTGTACTTACTGTACTAAATTTTTGAAATATCTGAAAAATGATTAACATGCCTGCTGAGTATCAACATACTCCATAACTGCCAGTACACTTGCTATTAAGATAATAAATGCTAATGTTACGCAAACTAGCAATATATAAAGTACCATCTTTTCGGCTTAACTGGGGTTGCATAATAGCACCGGGCAGAAAATTACCTTGCCAAAGCCCTGGGGGCCTCATATCAGGACCATTCTGGTTGTTCGTAATGACAGATCTAGATTCCTTCATTCTAGATCATTCTAGAATATTATAAAAATTTTAAACTCAAATATAAGTCACTTAAACTCGTTACACACGTTTACTTATTCAACAAATGGCCTACGTTTGATCTTATTGACTACAAAACTCAAAATTTACACTACAAACATAATTTTAAAAAATTAGACATTATGCAAACATTCCATTTTTATTAATTATCTGTTTAAAATTCTTAACAATCGTGGGGGAGGGCAATATTGAGTTAACTCAATGTGATGATTTTGATCAAACAAACGTGACATAAGGCACATCCACATATTTACAAATTGAAGCACTCTCATTTTGAATGAGCACTCGTTTATTGTGCTAGAAAAACATCTAATAAAAAATATTGTATTTAAAATCGCACACATTTTCGCACACATTTTTAGTATTTTTGTCCAGTATCGGAAGAATGTATGGAAGGCGATCTACTTTTTTCTTCGGTGGGTGTTTTTATGAGTCCAATTTCTCTTCCGAACCACTTGACTTTCTCGATCAGTTGCTCCTGCATCAAATTAATGCACATACTGACCAAAGCCATGCCAAGCAACACGTACGCGCACGTTGCAACCATGGTCATCGATGCGGCTGTTTTGAAACAAGTTATTTGTTACATGACAANTATGAACCTAATTTCAATTAAGACTAAATATTACACTGCACAGTTAATAAAATTCACTGATAACTTATCTAACAAAAGTATTTATCCCTTGTATAATAGGGTAATTTTGTTCACCCTCTTTGAAACTTAATAACTCCCGGGCTTTTTGTCGAAATTTTTTAAAATATTGCACCGAGGTTTGTGTATTAGGGGAATTGATACTATTAAATTTTGGCGATTAAAGGTCGAGAGGGAGAAGAGATATATGGGGTCGTGTTTATCTCCATTAGGGTCAGACTTAATGAAATTTTACTCATTGTTAGCATTTACAATATTTTATAGAACCCATCCCTTTTCTCAAAATATAGCTTTTTGCCATTTTGTAATAGTTAAATATTATAAAATAGTGTAATAAAATTAATAAAATGGTACAAAAATTATAGTTAGGTCTATCTGTACATTATTAATATGGGATGCTCTCAGTGAATTCTTTCTGAGTCGGGATGAAAAGACATTGATGAGAATTATATAAATTTAAGAATTTATATATACAGAAATGTTAAAACAAGCGTTTGGATAGGTTAAATTATTACAAGAAGGGAGATTTTTTAAGTACAGTATATCAATTTTAAGCCCATATCTTTTTTATTAATAATATTAATATTAATCTATTTAACCCCCTTTGGCAGATCGCCTACGTGTTACGTTGCTTTATGCACATTTGAGAACGAATACGTACAACACAGTACATATTTGATCACGCATACGTATGAGGCAGGTCGAGACCGCACGAAATACCTCATTTTGCCTCAGGCTACAGACTGGAGTGCCCGACATCGAATGTCGAGACAAATGGTTCCATTCGTGCGCAAGCATGACTGATATTCAAATGTATGCTAAAATACAACTACACCAAATAGGAATTCTTTTTGATTGACCAAAAACGCTTGGCTCGGCCCGAAGCTGTTCGTCGGACTCCTCCAGGAAGCTTGCAACGCCTCAGACCCGGGTCTATGCTAACATGCTGGTGAAAACTCTTCATGCCAATAAAAATCTAAATCCAGTTTAACGTTTTAAGTCGTAATAATATACTGTATTTAATTTTATATTACAACGGGTATGAATATGCCACAGTTTAAGATAGAAAGTATGTTGTAATTGTCCAACTAATTTTACTTGCAATCAAGAAATGATTTGTGGTAAATATTAAATATAGAATCGTTTTTCATAAGAATATATTTAAACGTTTTATAAATTAATTTTTATAGATAAAATCAGCAAAATAGTACCGAAAGAGCTATGTGGTATATACTTCAATAGAAAATTATATAATATAGAATAAGATTAGTACTACCAATGCAGATCTTCTCATAATTTATTAATTTTACATCTTAATAAATCCACGTGTAGATTCTATTAGATTTAACGATATAAAACTTCTACAGAAATCGTGCATAATAACCCATCGCTGAACATCGATATATTATGTAGTTGTTGACGAACTAGTTTCGTGAGGCTTGAAACATTTATCTTTATAAATCAATTTTCTGTTTATTGTTCGCTTTTTCATTATAGTTTCAAAAAAAACAATCTTATAATTTCAATGCATGCGTGAATAAGGAAAAAGTTATTCGTGATTAGTGCGTGCAGAAAACA